CCCGACCTACTTAGCGAGAAAGACAAGCCATACTACAACAAATACAAGCAAGGCAAGATTGAACGAAGCCCGGGCTATGATGGCGAGGTGGCTAGGGAGCTCGAGCTCATGGATATTGCTGTGGCAGAACTCAACGGCTTTGCAAAGGTCGACGCCTTCATCAAGCACTGGAATGAGAAGGTTCAAGATAAGCTATTGCGCCGACATCCGAATCATCTCAGGAATCGCCAGACTTACAGCCGCTCGCTCCAGTTCAAGTTCGTCTCGCGGACCAAGAGCACCCCGCAAGAGGTTGACGAATGCTTCACGTTTCGTCTACCCTTCTCCCGCGACGCAGAAGTCGAAGAAGCCGTGTCGGCACATTCCCAGGGCGCAGAGCAGCAGCACCAGCATGAAGACGCCGAGACAGACGGTGACGAGATGGACACTGTCGAAGAGACTACTGGTGCCGAAGAATATACGCGAATGCTGAGGAGGCTGGGAGGCTGACGAGGAGGCCGGAACTTCCTTCACCAGTAGTGAGTGCCCTTGCCAGACAAAATCATGTGCCCAGGCCCAGTTTTGCCGTGTAGGAGGCTTGGTGGCAAAACGCCCTACATGATGGCAGGTCGACGGCTTGCGATAGACTCCGCTGGACTCGCGCGATGTCTCAGAACAGGCGCCAGTAGATGGATTTGTGCGCACGATGATTCCAGCAGCCAGGAGGTTTCTTGCTGCACGCTCATACACCTGCGATGAAACGTTGCATCGGCTTGTGGCTGTTGAGGCGAAGACAGAGGGTTCGCAGTTGCTGTGTAGATAGTGGGATCCATCACAAGCATGGTGAAACACAACCCCACAAGAAGACCCCGCCATGGTTTCCTCGAATGATCTTGAAGCAGAAGATGCACAAGAAGCCATCGTCCAAAGTCACCCAAAGCAAGGCGTGGATGTCCACACCTTACATCCGAAGTGGCACCAAGGCACCACGGGTGGACCGGCTGAAGTGGAAGCGCTCCGCCCAGGGCCCAGTACCTTTGCTCCCTGACCGAGAACGACGCCATCGACGAGGTCCTGAAGAATGAATGACGGTCTGATGCCGACTTGGGAGAGTGCCATCTACCCTTTCTGTTCCAAAGGCAAGGTCGGCCCTTGCAGGCAAGGTCTTCTAATGGAATGCCCCAGCATCGCTGCCGACGGTTCGGGCGCCAGAAGTTCATTACGCACCCGCTCTGTGCTGCCACCCGGTGGTCCCGAAGGACATTCGCTAAGCCTCAGTACTACTTCTACGTCTGGCGAACGTCCCCCTGAGCTCCACGCACCTCGTCACCGACGTGAACCGTAAGGCGACCGAGCATGGATCACAATTTATGCCTTCTTCGGAAGAGGGCTAGTGGCTATGTGGGAAGGGTCCAGAAGGGTATGGTATTCGGCGGTAAGAAGAATGCGCGGCAGGACGTGGAAGTGGACGAGTCCGTCTTCGACAAAAAGCTGATCTGCTTGGAGGAAGCGGAGTCGCCTTCGAAGACGATGATGTGGGAACAGTGGGTCGGCATGGTCCAATGCGGCAAGCCGGAGTCCCTGGCGTTGACCCGCCTCTCCCCGCAGCATCTTGTAAAAACCGTGTGTGATACGTCGGATGATGCCGGGCTGATGTCGGTTGTGTTGTAACGACGCCGGTTCCCGACAGCTGAGGCCCACGAAGCCGTGGCCACGGTCACCGGGACCTGGCCCCATCAAGAGGTGCAACTGGAAGCCCATAGCCAACAAATGGCTGAAGGACAAGCAGGTGCTGCTGCGCACCGGCAGTGCTCGTGCGTACAACTCCAAGATGCGGGGCGTGCTTCCGTGGCCCACTAGAAGCGCCGGGTTTCGGTCGGTGGTTGGGAGCAGCCTACCTACGTCAAGATGAAGAAGGTGCTCTTGCCCAACAAAAGCGTCTGACTGCAAAGGTCGGGACGCAAGTTGTCGATCGCGCATGGATATTCATTAAGAGCGACTTACCTTGAACGAGAACAGTAGGGTGGGGTCGACTGCAATGATTTCCAAAGTACGATCAGCCCAGTTCGAGTACTGGAACAGGGGCCGAGACATGTGGGAGCACACAGGAGAGCTTCTGAGCTGGCACATGTCCCAGATCATGACCAAGCGATGGTACGTGATCGAGTTTCTTGGAACTTCACATCAGCGGAATCGCTGGCACATGGCCCAGATTTTGACCAAGTGACGGGACCGGATCAAGTATATCTTGGACACGCACATCAGCGGAATAGCTGTGTATGGCCAAGAAGCAAGATAGGAACGGACAGCGAGCGAAGCAGTTCGTGAGATCAAAACAGGTTCAGGTCCCCCTTTGTGGGGTGGGGTGTGGGCCTGCATGTGGGGTTCCTCTTCCGCTTGTGGTGTGTTGTGGGGTTTTGGGTTTAGCTCAAGCTTTCGAGATTTGGGTTTAGAATTAGAAGGTATAAGGCTTCGAGGACAAGGGCTTGGCGAGAGTTTGGGGTGTGGTTCGTTAGGGTCGACGGTTTATGTTCCGGTTTGCTCAGAGCATGCATTTAGGCGGGGTTTAGGGTTTGGTGTAGGGTTTAAAGTACTGACTACCCAGCTGCAGCTCCAATTCCCGCCCCCCCGACCCGTACCAGACCAGACCCTACCACCCTAACATGGGGGGCAGGGAACGCCAGACGCCTGACCACACATGTGTTCATGTGTTTTTGCCGCACTTACGTGCACTATTGCATGTGTGGGTAAATTAGCATGTGTGGGTGAGTGTATCTCTGTGAGTGTGTTTGTATCGGCATGCGTGTACAGACGAATGAACGGCTGAACTTGTGTTTGCACTCGTGTGTATGCTTGTATGTGCTTCTGCATGTCTGGGAGTATGTCCCGTCCGGGTTTGTATGTTTTGCATTTGTGAACGCAGCTATCAAATTGTGCACACGTTCTTGCATCGGCTTTGCAAATATGTCTGTGCGTTGATAGTCGGCTGAAGCTGTGTGACAAGCCAGAATTTTTAGTTTCTGTGTTCGGCGCATCTTGGCCGATGCCTCCGCGTGGTGGATGCGGGCCTCGCGATCATTCTGCAGTCAGATTGCTAGGTGCAAAGTCGGCTCAGCAGTTCAGTACTTGTTGTGCGTTTCATTGATGGTGACACCTGCCCAGTGCAAGCAAGTTGACAATGTCAATACCGCTATCTTCGTCAAGATGCTGGATTCCGTAGATGTTACATGTTTCCTTGACACTTGGATCTTGAATGGTCTGGTGCTCTGCATCTTTTGCGTGGGATGCACAGGACTGCTGCGCGCAAGGTTCGAAAAAAACACAACACGGGTTAAGCCAAGGTTGAATCCCGGTAGAAAACCGGGAACAATGCGTGTCAAGCAACGTAGGTGTTGGGGTTCGCATGGCGCCACCTATGTTGCCAATCAGAACGCTGCTACGCCTATATTTTCACGCAGCTTGCGATTTGGCTAGCTGTAAACCAGCCAACCGCAGATGTCGGCACACATTCAGGCGATGTGTTCATTATGACGGTTGCACCGGCTAATGGCAAGCAGCACGAAAAAGACTGGCGGCTGCTTGAAGCGCTGAGCAAAGCTCTGCAGAAGCATGTCGAGGATGACTACGACGATGATCACCAGCAAGATGCGGATTGTTGGCAGTCCACACAAACCAGAGTGAATGGTGGGATGCGCCAACATGCTCATATGGGCGCAGGTGGCCGTTGCACGGCCTCCTGCTGCGGGCGATGCCCTTTTGCACGCACTGATTGCACGAGTCATAGCAACGATTCTGCGCAGCGCAGCTTGTTGCACCCGACAAAACCTCACCCAAGCCTGTCCCTAAGTTTAAGCCGCCACGCTTTAAGGAGCACACCTTGTTCACATAATCCCTTACGGAAGGCACGCTCCCAAAGGATGGCATGAATTGGCCCACAACTCATGCTCACCGTGGATGCCCTGCTATGCCTGATGTTTTCACGCAGCTTCCGATTTGGCTAGCTGTAAACCAGCCAAGCGCAGATGTCGGCATACATCCAGGCGATGTTTCACATGACGGTTGCAACAGCTAATGGCAAGCAGCACGAAAAAGAATAGCGGCTGCTTGAGGCGCTGAGCAAAGCTCTGCAGAAGCATGTCGAGGATGACTACGCCGATGATCACCAGCAAAGTGGCCGATTGTTGGCAGTCCACACAAACTAGAGTGGATGGTGGGATACGCCAACATGCTCATATGGGCGCAGGTGGCCGTTGCACGGCCTCCTGCTGCGGGTGATGCCCTTTTGCACGCAATTAATGTACGAGTCATAGCAACGATTCTGCGCAGTGCAGTTTGTTCCATGATTTGTGCGACCTTGTCTGGAGGCACGAACAGTACACGTCTTGGCATGAGCCATCTCACCAGCAAGCGCCAGGTGAAAGGAAGGTGGATGGTCCGAGAGTGAGCGCCAGGAACATGTTTAGGACAGCGCCCGACAAAACTTCACCCAAGCCTGTCCCTAAGTTTAAGCCGCCACGCTTTAAGACCATCGCCGCGATTGCTCGTGGCACACCTTGACGACATCCCTGACGGAAGGCATGCTCCCAAAAAGGATGTAAAGTTTGACAATGGCAAAGTTGAAAACTATTGAAAACTACTGCAAGCCATGGCCGATGTGCATGCCCTGTCTCAGGCTAGCACGTCTCTCGCATTGATTGTTTGAGATTTTGATTCCGCCAAACATTCCATGCCCGCAAAAGCCGGGGCAGGGCTGGGATACCATAGGGGGTGCGGGGAGGTAAGTGCGACACCCCCCCAATCTGCGCCGACGGTCGGGCGACAACCCCAATCCGCACAGCAGAAGCAGGGGTGGGGCGACACCCCTAAGAATAGGGCCACTGGTGGCAGTGTGAGGGGTATACCATGCAGGCGGGGTAGGGGAGCATATATACGATATACAAGACTCGCAACGAATGCAGTAGCTTTGGAAAAGCAATTTCAAACGTGAAACTTTTGGGTTGCACTCCGGTGCCAGTGCCAGCCTGGAGCCTGGCCCTGAATGCGTCGAACAGCAATTTCGGAGAACGGATGTGCCTCAGCTTCCCGCGATATCTCGGACCTGATGCCACACTCTTCTGACTCAGCCCACCACGCAGCGCCATCCGCCGTCGGGCTTCTGGACAAAGCAAATCTGCCTCTCCTGGCAGCTAGACAAGGATTCCTTTGAAGCCCCTGAAGTCCTGAAGAATAATCTCTTGCTCATGCATCATTTATGTCAAAACCGTCTTTTGACATGTCGAGTTTTGGTGGCTTTTTGCTGTGTTTATTTCATAAGGTTGCGATGCTTGTAGCTTGTTTGATGCTTTCGTCACATCATTTTTGGTGCTGCTCTGAATCGGAAGTGTTTTTCTTCAGGCTCTATGCCGTGAACGCTCGTCGGCTGTCTTTTGCCGTCTGATTGCGTTTCATACTAGCTTACGCTGACATTCAGAGGTGAGATGAACATGATGAAGCCACCTTATTCTTGGTTTTGGCAGGTTCGGTTAAGTTCGGTCAGGTCAGATTTCGCCGACCCAGGCCAAGCTAGTTCAGTTAGGGGTCCTATGAGGATAACGTGAGAATGCAAGGGCGCGGAAGAGTACTGCGGTTGCTTGTTACCTTTTTCTGACGTTGTTCTACCATGTGCAGGAATTTCCGGCGACAGAATCTGAACAAAGGTCGGCCATCTTGACTATCTACACAACTACAGCAAGCAAAAAACACAGACATTGAGCGAACGGCTAGCTTGCAAAGGCTTGTGTACAACAGCAATCAAGTTCACTAGCATGTGGTACATGCAGCGATTGTCACACGGTCGCGGCCTGTTTCCCAGCCAGCTCTGAACTCGGCAAATTGTTGTTGTCGTTGATGGCCAAAAGCGGCTCACCTACTCCACGTGCGGCACAGTAAGGCACATGCAAACAGCCATCCCTTTACAAAGAACTGAGAGGATGGCGCTGATGCCCCGACGACTTTCCGCTCCGGGTGTGGATTGCATCCTGATGCGTTTTGGGTCTCGTACCTCGCTTAGTCAAGGAGGCTCATGCCTTGTGATTCCTTGGACTACTGCAGCACAGAAGCCCGAAGTCGTCTCGCAAGTAGAGATGCCAAGTGTCGCTGAAGCACTCAGCTGGGCTGCAAAACGAGACAATAACTCTGCACGTGGGACATTGCAATAGTAACTAAGAGCAAAGCTTGATGCCTGGGGCAGGGATACCTTGGAGACCAATTTTGCTGTCAGCGCTGGTCCCCGGGAATAGATGGCCAGGCATCCCTTTTGGATGACGCACTGGCAGCCCTTTGCGTAGAGGCTGAAGATTCTCTTTTTGATGTTGCGAAACATCGCGGAGCACATCTTCCTTGCCCTTTCCCGACATTGGGGCGTCTGGAAAAACAGCATCCCGCACTGGCCTGACGCGGAAACTGGAGGATACGTGTTGCTTCCCATGCGCCAACGAACACGAAGGCAGATCTCGCACCCTTTGAGCAGCTTGAGTATGTATCACCTGTTGGCAGATGCTGTGGTTGGCGTGTTGACCGTGCTGCAAATGCAGCCGAGACTTAGATAAAGCTGCATCATTCCTTCCTGCCATTTGGGCGGCTGCAGGGACAGCTTCCCACAACCAACGCCAAAGCCACGTCGCGCACCCCACGGAGATCCTGTCCTTGCATTGATGGATCCTGTCTCGACGTTGTGCTCTCTGCTTGCTTTCGGCTTCCAGCTGGTACTGAGCTTGCGGTCGGAGCGGCATCCCTGCTGAGCTGCCGCGCTGTTCATCTGTGTCACCAGCTTTGCGTCGTGTCCAGGTGGCCGCATGCTCAACACCGAACAAAGCCTTCACAGCTCGTGCTGGCATACCACACCTGCTCTCCGAAGATTGCAAATGCGTCCTTCTCCACACTCGATGCACAACACCCATCAAAGTCTCGGAGTCTCGTGGCTCGGCCCTGGGAGGTGCAAATGCCTGCAAGCAGAAAACACCTGCTGCCAGCGACAACCATGCAGCTCCGCGCGTTCGTGGTGCCCAGGCATCGCCACTGCTTCTCAACTCCAAGAATATTGCCCCTCAGATGAAACTCTAAGACTCTAAGATCGATCTTGCATGCAGTCACTGCAGTCACTGAGAATAGGCTGAGGCCAAAACCGGACAGGCACGATGCAGCGAGAGTCGCCCGTTGTATTCGTTGTTTACAGCTTTGTGGGTCTGCCAAACCTGCACACATGGTGCAGAAATGCGCGGTGGAGTTGCACTGAACTGGCACTAGCGAACGAGGCACTCACCGTAATGAGCTCCCAAGACCAGCAAATTCATCAAACATGTATGCCTCAGTTGCAACAAGAGCGTTCACATGTCAACAGATGTGTAGCTTCGAGAGAAGATCCCCTGTTCCATGTCACGTCAAGACGTGGCACCCATTCGGGCGGAAGGTCGTCAACGCAAAAATGAAAACGAGCGCGGCATCAAAGAAGCTGTGGATGCAGGCCCAGCAGAAAGCCCATGCCTCAAGCAGCTGACAGGAAACTAACACTTCCCGATGTCATGGGACGAAAGGTTGGCACTGTCGTGCAGAGCGACATCTCAACACTCCCAGCTTTGCGATTACAAGAAGGAAGGCACCCAGACTTGCATGCTCAGGCACATGCAGCAAGCATGACCAAGCCCTGCTCATAAGGTGCACAGGCTGGCATAGACACAACCCGTGGCGTCCTAGTTCTAGGACCTACACTGTCTTCCTCGGAACCGACTTGCCAAGTCAGAAACTGTATCCCATCATGCACCATGACTTGATGATCATATCTTGAACTGCAGACAGACACGCCGCGTTTTCCCTGACAGATCTGATAAAAACACGGCTCGTTTAACATTGTGGGTCTTGGGGCATTGCATGTGGCGAGAATTTTGCTTGTAAATCGAAACACAAATGCTCATGGAAAAAGACGTGATGAACTCCAAATCCGGCAACCGGTGTTTTGTCGCACTACTACGATAAAACAGGTCAGGAGTGCATCGACACTGCAGCTTGTTGTCAGTGATCCACAGAATCCGGATTCGGCAGGGGCGGACAAACCATTTTCGGTTGGGCAGGGTAACTGTTTTCGGCTACTAGGCCAGATTCGCAGTCTTTTAATTTTTGTAATTTTGGAACGTGCAATACAAATCATGAGTGACAGTTTCCGCCTGTTTTCTTGCAGCAATCACCTGAAAAAGTAACGCTGATACATTGAATGAGCCGGGCTGAGACTATGGATGCGAAGACGCGGAAGACACATCTGCCTCGGCCAGGCGAACATGCACGACACTCCAGTTTGGGCTTCAAGTTTTTCATGCTGAGGCAAGAGCTTAAGGGTTACGGGCTTGGCCTTGACAGGGACCTGGACCAAACGGTGCGCACCACAGATGATCTAACCAGTGGAGGCGAGGCAGCCAGCTCACCCCTTGCGCATGCAACATCTTACTAATACATCCAACTTCCACGACCTTGACTTACACGTGATGCAGCCTGCCATCCAAAGTATGCGAATACCAGAAACACCAAGGTACAACGAACACTCGCACAAACGATGGTAATTTCGGCAGCTCAGTAAAATTAGATCGACAAAAAAACAACTGTAAGCTCGGGGCATGCTGGCTTCATGCTGCCACACGACATCGCCTTTAGCAAGCTCTTCCACAGGCTACCACTGCACAGAAACACTCCAACGCCCTCGATCTCTGGAAAACTCCGACCGAAAGTTGGGCTGCCTGCGCCAGTTCGACTTCATTGCGCAGCCTTGGCGCCACTTATCGCCAACAGAGGGCTTCTGACACATGAAACAACGGCTGATGTCAAACTTGAAACCCGTTGCAAGCAGGAATGCAGTCAACTTTTTCGTCTTTTCGCTGTGCTTCTCTTGTCTTAGGCGATCACAGCTTCCCAGTCCCCATGAACCCTTAGATACCCTTGGCATCCTGACCCCCAGATGCGCTGTTCAAGTGCTTGTAAGGCAGGCATCGCGGATCATGACGGCATGGTTTGATTGATCAACACCATCTTGAGCTGGGCCGTTGTTGCAGCAGATGAGTTCCGCAAGCAGTACTCTTGCCCTGCCCGAATCACAAGGGAGTGCCCTGAGGAGAGCTCAATGATGTTCGTGTCGATCGCTGCCGTGAGGGCTCCAGGCTCGCACGAAGTGACATAGATGAGGAGAGATCTGCTTGCCGCGAGCTCCTCTGGAGTATTGAAAGAGCGCGGAGGGATGCGGATATCACAACACATCCACTTCCCATTTTCCAGTCCAACTCTGATCCCACATGCATGCGTGGAACCTGCTGCTGCTGGGACTTCGACGAAGCCTGTGGGCGTTCTCCTTGGTAAAGCCCTGTCGGGTGCACCTGCAGCCAAGGCAGAAGCTGCCGCCGCACTTGCTGCTCTGGCAGCCCGCTCCACAGAAGGAGGCCGGTGCCGGTGGCGTCTTGCTTTGACAAACTTGGCTTCAGCATCGTCCTCGAGCCCGCCAGACTGGAATGACATGTCAGACTTTCTGCTGCTGCAGGGACTGAACACGTCTCCAAACTTGGCTGTGAGCTCGATTGGGACTCGCTCCGGTGAAGCATCCTTGACATCTCCTTCCTCGCATGGCTGCGCCACGACAACTCCGCACACTGTCGGCATCGTCGACCCACGCACCCTCTCATAGAGCACACGCTCATTGCGCCAGTGTTCAAGAACACGAATCTGATGTCGGCGCGGTCGGCCCGGCTGGTTCAGGCACTTGAGCTTATCCATGCCGACAGTGACAAGCGCAAATCGACCCTCTTTGGTAAGTCGAGTCTTCTCTAGTGCAGCACGCTTCCTCCTCCTACTCTGGGCGTCAATTTTCTTGTCTGGCGTAGTCTGCTGCCCCTTCTCGATCATATCTGGCGGAGGAGGCGTGCTCATGTCAGGGAGTCCGTCTTGGACGAGGCTTGACATGTCAGGGACGCCCGCAGCGAAAGAGGGTGAGCGCGCAGTGGGGGAAGCAGGGGCTGGGCTTGGAGCAGAGAAAGTTGGTGCCTCAGGTATGGGCTGCGCCGGCTTTCCCGGCTCAGGCTCCAAGCCCGCCTGGCTCTGCTGACTCTCCATGCCCTGCTGGCCCTGCTGGCCCTGCTGGCTCTGCTGGCTCTGCTCTGGAGCGGAAGCCGGAATTGGACCACTGGACTTCGGCCCCTCTCCGCGTCCAAACATCGGTGCCTCCTGGCTTGCTGTCGCTTGGGCTGACTCTCTGGGCTTTGGATGCTCAGGTTCATTGGGCACCCCGGCCGCACCCTGTCCGCATGCCGGCAAGGCATCTCCAACTGGAGCTGGCATGCGACCGGCTGTGCAGACTTCGGCTCGGACTGGTTGAACCGGGACCGGCGCCACAGCCGGCTGACCTGCCATAGTGCCCTGCATTGGCCAAGGTGCTTGCACTGCGGCCATTGGCCCCTGAGTTCCCCAAGCTCTTACTGGCGCAGGCACAGCAGTTTGTGCGGGCTGTGGCGGTGGTGCGACTCCCACTCCTGCAAAGTCTCGTTGGAACGGAACTGCATGGCCTGAACTTGTGTACGTGTTGGGCGTGAGACAGGGCGCATGTACTGGGCCAGGTAGCAGGCCAGGCGCTGCTGGTGGGGCTTGAGCCAACTGGGCAATGCCACAAGGCACTGGAGCCCTGGTCGCTGGTGGAGGCCCAGAAGGCAAGTGTCCTGCGGTTGCAGTGAACCCCCAGCTGGGTGCTGGTGTGGGGGCCATGCTTACAGACAGCATACCCCCAGCGCCGTTGCTGTGAGAGGGTAGCTGCGACGTGGAGGGCATGGGACCTGAAGTGCGCAAGTCCGGCAATCCCTCCCCAAGCCGCCTGCCAGGTCCCTCAGCTGCCAAACCAGTGTTCTCTGTGGTCGCAGGTGGCACTCCTGTAGTTCTCGCATAAGCTGGCGTGTCATTGGGTCGACTAGGATTTGGTAGAGGGGCACTAAGCTCTTCTTGCACCCTTGCATCACCAGCAGTGAAAGCCGAACTTGGCAAATGCCGCACTGACGGAGCAGCTGCGCTTTGGACCGCATCTGCCAGGACAGGGGCTCTGCTTGGATATGGCATATTTCGGGGATACGCCTGCCTCCTCTCATACCCGGGCAGATCAACTGATTCTGTTGGCCCAGGAACACGTGGCACTCCAACCCGGGTGGACCTCATCTCGTGCAGCTCCTGTAAAGCTGGGGCCACTGATGGCTCGGCCTCTCTCTGCCGCACTAAAAGCTCAGGCATACCCACTGCGCTGGGCAATGCAGGGACCGAAGTGCCTCGCCCTGATCCACTATGCATCAGACTGCCAGGGCCTCCACAAGTCAAGGGGCATGGCCAGGAAGCTACGCATGGCGTCCTATGCTCAGAGCTTTCAATGGTGACATCATGGTTCCGTTCGCTGAGATGCTCTCGATGGTGCCGGACCGGCTCTGCCAACGGTTCGTCGACAGATGACAGCCGCAAAGGTACAAAGTAATGCCCGTCACGAAAAAAAGATGCCAAAGAGTCCATGGAATGCTCCGTGCAAGGCGATGTACCCATCAGGCTGTCTTCCACAAAGTTTCGCGACTCTCCTAGATTCATGTCGCGATCATTCTCTGGAATGACTGCTGCACTTGTGCGGATTCCACGATCACGAGCCTCCCTGGGTGAAAGTGACCTCCGCCCAGTCCGCAGCGGAGAAGGCATGGTTCGCAAATGGCCACTGAGCGGAGAAGCACCCCGCGCTTCATGAACGGAAAGCCCGGCTTCGATGTCGAGAGGCGGAGGTGACCCGGGCACCCGAGGCTTCTCCGGCGTCTCAGCACTGGGATCCATCTGTGTTGGATTGACCTGGGCCTCATGGGCCTCATGGGCCTCATGGGCCTCATGCACATACATGTCTGGAGCCGCACTGGGAGAGGCAGCCTCAATCGCAGCTGCTGCATGCACCAAGCCTGTGTGCCCTTCCTCTGAAGAGCTGTCATCGACGTTGGGCGATCTCACGGCAAAGTCGATGCTTGGGAGCCCATCGGCTTCAAGCCGAATCCGTGGTCGTGCTGACATGGCTCGTAACTCGTAAAGCCCTGGCTATGTACAACGAGCCGTGTTGGCGCTTTTGCTGCCACGCCTAAACTGCCTGCCCGAGCCAAGTTTCAAACAGCACCAACAAGATTACATGCAAGTGTCGATCTTCCGAAAGCATTGCAAGGCCTCGGCCATGTACTCTTTCCAATCAGCTCCTATTGCGAAATCCAAGGTGCAAACCTTTTGGTGCCATCGCTTATTGCACGAGCAAGATTGCCTTGCAGAGAGAAACAGCTTGTCGGATACTTCCTGCTGCCATTCATGCCCGTGAAAAGAACCCGCCTGACTGCGGGCAGAACCACAGCTGAAAAAGCGCGCCACATTCCTGAACCGCTCCTGGATTGCAAGCGATCTTGCTGCTCTAACTCTAGCTGTCCGAATCACGACAACATTCCCTGGGCCTTAGCAAGTCAAGGCTACGATGGAAGTCGCAAAACTGACACTAAACCTGTCGGGGGTCATTCCCAAAACCAGTTTCACAAGCAACGCTCAAGGAAGGCACAGACTTTCGGTTTTGCTCAGCCCGCTGCCAAATCTTGTCATCAGCTGCCCAGGAACAAGCACACGGCTTGCGAACTCTCCCTGGTGCAAACTTTCGCAAAGACTTAGCACTTTGACTGACGGGGCACTATGTGTTTCGCAACTGTGCCACACTTCATGGCTGTTGCCACACGACTCGTTCTCACTGGTAACCGCTTGTGGCGTTTATCAGAAAACCCTACCTTTCAAGTTGTTGGTTCGTAGTGTCTTGAGAACTGATTGCCCGATGTCTGGCATGACACCTGGCACCCCGCGTAAAGCCCTTTATTGCTAATGCCGGGCTGTGCCCCAGCTTTGCTTGTTCCCTTCAACGTCTTTTCTCGCTTTCCTCAAACCGTACAGTATAGCAGTGTAGCAGCAGACTTCAAAAGATTAGATCTCCGTCCTGCCGACGTGGCAGAATGCACATGTTCGATTAATGTGCTCCGGCCTCGTCTGCTATGCTAAAGCTGTTGGAAATCGGGCGCCCATTTTGGCCCTCAGCCTGCTCGACGTTGCGTCTATACTCGACTCCTGCGGCATCGCCTTGCCACCAGGCTCCCTACCGGGTGGGAAAGTTTGGTGGCATTTACCAATCAAGGATAACATCACTTTACAGGCAGGCTGCTGGGTGTGCTGAAAGCAGGGCGGTGACTCAACATGGCTTGAGCTCCCTTCCCTTTGAGAGGACACCTTTCCTTTGTGTGGCCAACCCCCCCCCCCCCCAATAATGGGCCGTGTGTCATTTGCGAGGAGCCTCGCCCAATGCAAGCTGCCGCCGAAAACATGTCATGAACATGTTAGCGCGCTTTCCAAAGCTGGCGTCCCTTCTTTTTGCTGCGCAGCCCAATGACGAGTTGTGCTAAGCCTCCAAATGAGGCAGCAGCGAGCTACCCTTCTCTCTCAAAAGCGAACGTTTCGACTTGCAACTCAGACCGATGAAAGAAGAGCCACCAGCCTTCGTTACGTAGGCAGAGTCGAGGAACGTTTCGAACTCACTGTAGTTGGAAGGTTGTAGCGGAAGCTGCAAGAAGGAACTGCACCCTCAAAGCTGCCAGCAGGATCACTTGCAAACATGTGGGGCATGTTAGCGCGCTTTCCAAAGCTGGCGTCCCTTCTTTTTGCTGCGCAGCCCAATGACGAGTTGTGCTAAGCCTCCAAATGAGGCAGCAGCGAGCTACCCTTCTCTCTCAAAAGCGAACGTTTCGACTTGCAACTCAGACCGATGAAAGAAGAGCCACCAGCCTTCGTTACGTAGGCAGAGTCGAGGAACGTTTCGAACTCACTGTAGTTGGAAGGTTGTAGCGGAAGCTGCAAGAAGGAACTGCACTCCACCACTCATCAGCAGGCCGCTTCGAGGTACGAGAAGGTGCTTGCACGAAAAAGATGCAAGTATCTTTTGCCATGGACAGGTGCAGAAAGTACCCGTCGGGTCCTCGGCAGCAATCAAACCGCCGCAAGAAAAACAGGCAAGCACGATGCGGCACTCGTGATTGCCCGCTTCGATGAAGACGAAAGGTGGCCTAACACGTTTTCTGCGGCCATCTCTTGGAGATAGTGCTGTAAAGTCGGAATATGCTGTATCCTCATCTGCCAGAGCAGTTCGTAGATCGGTGTGCCGTGATGGTAGGCACTGACAGCTGCACCTCCGCGAACGCCTCCAGGGGTCAGCCCGAGGCTTTTCGGAACTTCAAGGGCATCTAAGATCTGATCCCAGCGTCTGCGGAAGGTTTGCACGGAAAGAGGAAACAAAGCTGTGTCAGGAGAAGCTGAGCCGAACAAACTTTCACAGGCCCGAACAACAGCTTCATCTCGAACACTGGCGTGCTGCTGTCGTCCTCCTCCACGCTTTCCAGTCTTAGGCTGCCGTACTCGGAAGAACAACCGCGAGACTGTGTCACTGAGAAGGTCGCTCGGCAGAACAAGGTCACTCCTGCTTGCTCTGGCGACCTCACCTAGTCTAAGAATCCCGCGGTAGGCAATCAAGAGGATCAACGCAAATCGTGGCCAGCCCCACGCAAGGGCTAACGATGCCATGGCATCGCAAAGTTGTTCGGGTATAGGAGCTCTGTGAACGAGCGGTTCGATGGCTTCCCATTTGCTGACATAATCCCAACAGACTTTTGAATGGAACTTGAAATCTGGCAGGCGCCGCTGAGCGAAAGCAATAATGTGCCTATAAGCACTCAGAGTCGCGCCCACTGAGAACAGATGCTCGCCGTAGAGCTGGAGCAACGGGGCCAGAGTAGCTGCCAAGGCACAAAGTTCTCTGGCGGCGTCGGATCCACAGTCTTCTTGGAGCCATTCTAGAAAACCCTCCCAAAGCTTGACTTCGAGCTTTTCAGTCTTTGCTTCAACGAGGGAAACAGCTTCTAGACGCACTCCGGCCCGTAAAGCGGCCCGTTCAGCAGCAGTCGTGCGCTTGGGCATGAAGACCCGAAGCGCAGGCACCTCCCGCAAGTTCCTCAAACTCTGCGCGATCACCAGCACCTGCAGTAAGGCAAGGGCCATTGCGATGCAGAGGCTGAGCCGCCGAGGATAAGGTCCGGCTACCTTCGTCCAAGAGCATCGGTGAAAGGTGGACCTGCCGCGTAAGATCTGGTGCACGTGTCCGCCTCTACAGAAGGTGTTCTGATGCCTCAGACAGGTGTTGGTGAAGATTTTTGTCCTTTTTCGCCAAGGTGCCCCGAAGACACAAAAGTCAAACGACCAGAAACCGACACTGGGATGCTCTGAAAGCCTGCGCAGTTTGGGTGTGCTCCAGAGAAAAGACGCAGCAGGGTTTTTTATCCAAAATGACAAACGAAGATCGATGCACAACTCAATCAGCTCGCACATGAACTTGGCAAGCTGGTTGCCTTTCTCGACTTTTAGAGCCTGTTCCCGAGTCAGTCCTGGCTTTCCCAGTGGAAACTGAGCCGACCTCCAGGGAGGAGTGATGGCTCGAGAGAAGGAGGAGCAAACGGGAGCAGCTCCGAAGCCAACGAAAGCACCGTTCAGGAGCAGCTGCCTAATGCGGTTTTGCACTTCTCGATCAAGTAGGTCCTGAGAATTCCCGTTGAGGATGTCAAAGCACAAAACCCATCTCCCAGACAATCTCGCGGTCTCTCGAGCTACTCCGCCTGCTCCAGAGAAGAGGTCGAGATACCCCGGGCGCCTCAAACACAGTGATTCATCACACGACTTTGGAAAGATTACAAGGCCACCAGACGCCTGAACTTGAAAAGGATCATCCCCAGCAGTGTTCTCACGCCTTGAGTCGAACCTTTGAGCCTTGAGGGTTAGGGTCGGGTTTTAAGGGCAATCAAAAGTCGTTGGAAAATCAACTGCAGCTGACGCTCGAATGCATTCACCAGGGTTCCACACCAAAGCTCAAGCAGTTAACGATCGAACATGCAGTTGCTCAGAATCACTCTTGAGGCATCGCGCAATCGAAGGCATACTCGAAGACCATTGTTTTCAATCGGTGCGTCGAACTGGATCTTGCCGTCTGAAGCCTGGACCACATGTTCACATGACGGTCGCAGTTGCCTCGAGACCCCCGGTGTGGGAGGGCGGGTCACAAAAGAACTTGAGTCGTAACTTTGCCGTGCAAGGATCTCAATCACACTGTACAAAGATCAAGCACTCAATCTAAAATCAAGCCGAGGTAAAATCAAGCTCAAGTGAAATCGTCAATCACATGTCCGCAAGGATTCAAGCGTTCAGAGTCGTACTGTTTTTCCCCCCCACCCCCCCTCAAGGCTCTCGAACACACTTTTGGTAGGACCCAAGCAGCGTGTTCTCACGCCTAACTGCGGTTCAGGCAAGACTCGGGCATCGCAACGAAGTCCCGATCTGCGTCCAGTAACGTCTTTGGTTGTCGGTTGTGAGACCGAACCTAAAAGGTCAATCATGAAGCTGACAAGCAGAGGACGTGTGACAACTGTACAATCCAAGGTGCTTGAAGCTGAGGCATGAGAGACCAAACAAACTAGAGTCGTTGAGGCCAGATTAGCCGAAACATGGGAAACTAAGGCTCAGGAGAGCCGAGAAGAAAAGTGAGCCTTTGGCTCAGGTTTGCTAGAAGGAGAGGTGCAGGGCTACACAGCAAGCACAAACTGCCTAGCGAGAGCCTAAGCAGCATCGAAGTGACGTGCGGAGCAGCTGTACACCTCTACGGCTTCAGATGGGCTCGACGTGAGAACTCAGTGGGACACAGCAGCGCGCCTCAGCCAGCAGCCCACGCCCCGCAGCACGCCACCGCAGCCAGCAGCCAGCGGCAGCAGCCAGAAGAAGTGGTGCAGCACGTAGTTCCCCGAGGGAGCCACCGTAGAAGCCGTCAACGATGCAAATGTTCAGTGTCGTAGCGAGTTTCACGGATCATCATGAATGATACGGGCCGGCCGCCTCGCACGAAGGTGCTGCGCCAAGACATTGGAGGCACCAGCAGAAGCCAAGATGGCCCCCCGCTCCCAAAGTGCTGCACGATGAAGCGCGCATGCCAGCTCACCCTGCCGGATCCACGAGCCCGGTGCTCGCGAATGCTGTTGGCAGCTGCATCGGCCCGTTCGTTAAGGTCCCTGCAGCGGGCGGCCGTTTGGCCCCAGGGAGCAGTCCAGTTGGGCCGCCGACCATGTGCAGGAGTCCACGAAAGCTTCAGGTCCAAGCCACCGGCACGCACATCACGCAGTAGCCTCGCAGCCTTGTGAGCCAGGAGAGGCATAGAGCACGCCTCAGGTTGAGCCACAGCCTGAAGAGCAGAGCTGCAATCCACCAGGATGCCGACCTGACAGCCTGGGGCCAACTGTGCACGAGAGATCGCCTCGAAGAGGGTCGTCAAAGTGAGGAGCTCACATCGGAAAGCCGACTGGTCCTCACAAGCATCACCGAAGACGAAGGTGCCGTCGCCGCTTCCGAAGATCACGGCACAGCCGCCGACATCAAACTTAGCACTGCCATCGGTCGCGATGAGCAGACGCTCGCCCACAGTAGCGAAGTTGCGAAGATGCGCCACAATGCTCTGAAGGATGTTTTCAAAGTCCGAAGCTGCAGGAGCTGCAGGGTACTCAGTGATTTCGGCCGCAAAGAGCCGTTCACCAGCACGGGTGGAAGGAGGTGCGAGACCTTGCCGCAATCCCGTCGTTGAGGCGCAACACCAGGTGAGATGCGCTCGGCTGGGCTGCAAGAGGCCACAAACACACGCCGTGGTGTCGGGTGAGCTCATCTCCAGCCGTTTGCAGTGGTACCAGATGGAGCCGCCCGAGCCCAGTGCTGCAAGGCGAACTTCACGTGTAGGCTCAGCCGCGACTGCAAGGCGGTGACCTTCAAGCGCAAACCGAGCACTGCGAAGCGGGGCCCCCAGGCTGAGACCACGGGCCAACGTTGCATCATCGCGGTGGCCACGATTGCGGATCCGCCCACACGAATGCACGCCCTGCCACTTGTAGTGGTCCACAAGCCAGCGCTTGACCACATCAAAGGATTCCCAGCCAAGGTGGCACTGACGGAGGGTGCCCGAATCGTCGAGCCGTGCCAGGATGGCGCCATTGCCTTGGACCTGCCAGCCTAACCTTTGCACAACCGCCCCCGCACCAGGGAGGAAGCGACGCCAGTCACCACAAGCAACATCAAGCCCAGCCGTGTCGAGCCAGGCCGGGGGCCGAGCCTTGAAACGCCAGGCAGCCCGCAGGGATGCCCAGTCCGCCGCCCATTCAGGGTCCAAACTCCAGCCAAAGGAGGCACACAGCAAGACTTTAGGAGACTCGAAGGTGGCGTGCTTTTGCAGGACCGCACAAGTGGAGTGCCAAACGTCGCGCAAGCAGTCGCGGTCCGGGCAGGCGACACCACCAGCCCAAAACATGGCCGAGTGGACCAGCTGCAGCACGATGCGACGGAGCTGGGGCACCTCCCCTCCCAGGAGCTTGAGGAAGCGAAGGCGATGCAGGAGCAAGCGTGGGCTAAACTTAAGGAGCCCCAGGGCACCCTCCTGCATGTCGAGGGTGATGCCCAGCACCTTTAAAGTAGTCACGCGTGGGTAGCTCCTGGCACTGGCCCACTGATCGAAAGTCCCGACATCGGGTGGACACACCACAGCACACTTGCTGGCACGGCACTGGAAACCGAAGGCTTGGTCGAAGGAGTCAGAAGCCCTCAATGCCACATCCATGGCCCCAAGAGGGTCCGCACACGTGCAGGAAGGCCACAACACCCTGTCGTCAATAAAGATGAGGCAGTCGGTGCGTCCCTTGGCAAAGGACTGGACCCACATGGCCCAGATATGGCCGACCGCAACCGCGGCCATTGGGGAGAGTGGGCATCCCTGCGCCAGGCCCCGCGCCGGGCTGCCCCATGCACTGCTGGACCTGCCCTCGTGCAGAAAGAGCCTCGAGGCATCCTGGTAGAAGGAGGCTAAGAGCTCAGCGAGGCCAGCAGGAGCACCAAGGTGCCGGAGCACCATACCCACCGCCTGGACATCAAGAGAGTCGAAGAACCGCGTGAGGTCCTGCTGGCAAAAGACTTTGCCGCCGCTCTGCCACGCATGAAAAAGCCGGGCATGAGCGTCGCCCGGGCCTCTACATGGCGCACCGCCCAAGGTGTGGTGGCCCAGCCATGTGTCCATCCACGGCAGCACATTGCGAGAGATGCAGTGGGCACCAGCTCGCCAGATGACAGGGCACAAGGCGATCGGTCGGTATTCATCCAGGCGCTTCGGCACCAGGGCAATCAGTGCCCGGCGCCAGAGTCGAGGAACGTACTTCGTGGAGAGCACCGCATTCCACAGAGTGGCCGCCGCTTCCCACCACGGCACTGGGAGGCGGAGCAGAAACTCCGCTGACCATCGGTCAGGGCCCATCGCTTTCCCCCGCATTGCCTTGGTGGCTCGCATCAGAGCCTCAGCTTCGACCTGGAGCACAATGTCCGATTGCGGCCCGCCCGGGACACGGTCAAGGATGCGTTGCACGGCATCGAAGTTGACAGGGGACTCCGGCTTCCAGTGCTGCAGCCACACTTTACCATGTTCCTCGACAATAGAGGCAGGGTGAACAGAGGAAGGGACACCAGCATGGGCCTGAGGAGATTGCTCCATGGCCAACTGATGGTCAGCTTTGCGCTTGACCCAGGCGAGGGCACGAGAAGGATCCTCCTCAACACGGCAACGCCACCTGTGCACTCTGGCCTCCGTCTCCTGCTGCTGAAGCTCAGCATGCAAATGAGAGATCACCTGGGTGGCACCTGCAAGGTTGGCAGCATGTATCACAGGGAGGTCGGGGAAAGTGGCACGAAGGAGCCCAGCCCGGCGGCCCACCGCACGCCACAGCTTCTGACAGTGGGGCTGTTGCCGCAGTTGGTGCAATTGCCCAAGCAACTTGCGAGATGAACGGAGGGACTGGGACTCATGACCCTGGGGGCCGACACGATGGTGAGACTCGTGGCGGGCACAAGGGAGCCAGTGGTCGCTCCTGCGGGCACCAGAGGCATCGAAGAGCGAAGTGGCACCCAGCGTGCGCTCGGCCACGTCTGACAAGAAAGCCCAGGCTTCATCAAGAGCCCCACCTGCAATAGAACTCTCAAAGTGTGCGGCATCCCAGACCCTACCAAAGTTAGACAGGATGTCTTCAGTGGCCGTGGCAGGGAGCTCACGAAACTTAGGCATGGAGAAGCTGTCGGCACGGCTCAGGCACCGCGTTTCGTAGAAGACACACCCGTGGTCCGAAAGGTGCGGGCGTTCGAACTGCTTGACAGCCGTCGCAATGATTGACCAATGGGCCAGGCCAAAATCAATGCGCCGGGTGCGCGTGGGATTTGTTGGGCCGGCTTGGGTCCAGTCCGCCTCATCCAGAGACCGGAGCTCGCCATCGCACAACAGCTGCACCACAGCTTGCTCAGACTGGTCAACATTGAAATCGCCGAGCAAGATGTAGGGGCCGCCGAAGGTCGCAGCTGCACGCCTAACCTCACCTAAGGCCTGGGCTGTGGCAGCTGGCTGACCAGGGAAACCGTAGAAGGCCACCACAAGGGTGATGCACTTGCTGCCAGCAGCCTGCATCTCAAAAGCACCTGCAGCACAGCGCGCAGCCACATGAGGAGGGAGCTTAAGGTTCACCCGATGCATGGGGAGGGAGGCGACTAAGGCTACCCTATGCACACCCTTGGCAGCATCGATGTCGCTGAGAACAGCCCGATACCCATGGGCACGCCAGCGCTCACCAAAACCCTGGGCCGACAAAGGGTTGATGTCAGCCTCCTGGAGAGACAAGAGCTCAGCCCCACACGACTGGAGGAAGTCGGCACACAGGTCCACTTTGGAGATGGCCGTGCGGTTCGCATTGATGCTCAAAAGCTTGACGAACACGGCGAGGAGGGGATTCGCATGGAGATGGCAAGCTTGGCAGCCGCGGCAGCACGGAGCACCTGGGAGCAGAAGTCGGGGTCACCTCCGGCACGCCGGGCCCACGCCTCGATGCCATCAGGGTGTTGCTCTGCGACTTGCACCGGCCCTCGCTATGCTGCTTGGCGGCAGCCAGGTCCCTGGTGCACTCACCGCACCGGAGGCACTTCCAACCATGCTCAAGGAGGACATGCTTGACCCGGGTGCTGCGTTTCTCACACCTGGCTCGAGGCCACACAAAGAGCTGCATCTGGTCCCCAAAGCGAGGGGTCCTGACTTGAGCGAACACGGCCTTGGTGAGGTTGCGCTGGCGGCACCCTTTGGCATGCACCTGGCGATCCTTGGGCCCGGTTTGCGGGAGTGCCGCAAGACGCTGCCACTCAGCCTTGGAGACCTCGGGGTGGGCCTGTGCACGATGCTGGTTGCGCAGGGCATAGTAGGAGAATCGAGAAAGGTCCTTCCGAGTCTCATGCGTGATGCCCTTGTTGCAGAAAGGGCAACACCAGATGAACTGAGCCCTTGGGCCGCAGACCCGCGTGAGCTTGGGTCGCCCGATGTCCGCCTGCAGGCCCTGCCCCTCATGGGCACGCTGGTAGTGGTTGTGGCGGATGTGGTAGTACTGGTGGTTGCTCGTGGCCTTGCGCTTGCACCGAAAGGTGAGGTCAGCCGGTGCCGTGGCATGGGCCAGCCAAGGGCAGCGCTTCGGGGGCACACGAGCTCGCTCAAACTCGGATTCATCGAAGGCCTCGATAGTGCCAGCAGAAGTGCAGGTGAAGACGGACGAAGTGCACAGCTCAACCGCCTTGCGCTTGGTGCCTGAGGGCCTTGCCTGGGCCGTGGCCTGTGATGACCTCGCCTGTCGCCCCTGGGCCTGGTCTGGGGACCATGCAATGCCTTTGCCTTGCACCTGGCACTGGGTGGGCACGGCCGGGAAAGGGCCTGCACCTTTGCCTGCGACGACACCCGGCTGCCTGAAGACCTTGCCTGTGACCTGGGCCGCCTACCTTGCAAAGAGGGCTGGGCTTCGATCGAGGGCCGCCCCGCAGCACTCCCCGAGGCGCTCGCCGGCATCGAGCTGGTCCAGACGGATGCCGGGCGAGCCTGGGATTTTGCCCCTTCGCCTTCCATGACCGAGGTCCACTGAGAGGATGGCTGGGATCGAACACAGGCAGCAGAGGAGGCAGTGAAGACCGATGGGGGCCCACGGCCACCTGCACGCAGCCCAAAGACGGGTCCAGCTGTGATCTGGGCATACTCACTGGGATACTTCTTGTGACCCTCAGGCGGGAGCATGAGATCAACGTGGTTATCCTCGTACCACAACACCAGCATCTTGGCAGCTTTGCTATGGAAGGCGTAAGGAGAAAAGTTGAGGCCCGCCGGCAGCACGACGATTTTGATGTCCAGCACACGGCCCAGGGCCCTCAGCTCGACATCCGAGCAGTATGCCCCCTCCTTCTCCATAAGAGTGAGGTAGGCCGGGAAGTCCCGGTCCTTGACCGGCTCACTGTCCGGCCCTTTGCCGTCCCATTCCTTCTCGTACTGGGTGGCGTGCCGGCGCATGTGTTCGACCATTTGCGCACGGAGCATGCGCGGGTGATTGGGCCGAGAGTCACCAAGCCATTGAAGGCCGAGGCTTAGTGCGTGCAGCACGCAGGCTCCGTCACGAGGGCATGCCTTGAGCTGGAGGTCACCTGGCTTGGTGCGCACCTCCTGCTTGACACGTTTCTGCTGGGGCACTTCCTTGCCGTCCTCGCCCGTAGCCAGCTCCCCCGTGGGAGGTTTGACGATGGTGGCAACGACAGGCTGCTCGAGAGCGACGACCGGGACGGCCTTCGAGGCGAGAGGCTTCTGCTTCTTGGAGACGACACGGAAAGGTGCCAGCGTTGCCCACAAGGACAAGGGCTTCTCCTGATGCTCGACGACGAACGGCACCAGGTCCGTGTCTGCGGTTTCAGGTTGCCCGCGGAAGCGAAAGCAGGACCCGAGGCGAGTGCGCCGATGCGACAGGATGGTGTACTCAGTGAAGCGTGTGGCCAAGAGCTGGCCGACGGCATCCACATCCCACTCGTGGGGCACACCATCGATGTGCCAGATGCGCACCGTTGCTTCTCCAGCTGCCATGGCACTTCGCCACGCCAATCGCCCCCCATTGACGACCAAACCCAGGCTGGAAGCCTGGCGCAGGGCACGTTCAAAGTAGGCGTCCACCTTCTCGCCGGGGAGCTTCTCGATCCATTGGAGCTTCGCCCGGGGCCCTGAGGTGCGAGCGGCATCCACGAAGACACCGTCCTTGCCAGAGTGGGCCAGGATGCCCTCAATGTCTGCCTTCGGAATGCGAACAATGCCAAAGTACTGCTCATGAGTGTCGTTGCGCTGCTTTTCCAGGACCCAGGCAAAAGTGTCGAGCACCTTGATCCTTTGGGCCGCGACCCAGTCTACAGCGGCCTTGGAGGCGTTGCCCCCGAAAGCCTTCCAAGTGTCGGCTGAGGCGAACTGCTTTGGCACCTTAAAGTAGACGACTGCACTTTCAGTGGGTTTGATCTTGATGGACGTTTGGCTCAGGCCGGTGGGCTGCGGAGCATGGCCACTGGCACCTGCAGACGTGAGCTTCTGGACCTTAGCAGTCCTGAAGACCAGGCGATCCCCAATGGTGCCCGGGATGCGCTGGGCCTCCTCATCCTTGGATAGGAAAACAAGCAGGGCCTTGAAGCTCAGCCCGCTCCCCCGCAGAATGTTCGTAGCAAGCGTGACCTGGTCGGCCGAAACAAAGACTACAAGTTCGAGGACCTTGCTGGCATCAGCCTTGTCAATGAACTCAGCTAGGGCAGCATACTCGACGACCGGAGCGTCCCAATCAGATTTTCGAAGCTTGAAGGCGCCTTCCGGAGCCTTGCGCCGGACGATCTGCCAGCCATCACCGGCTTCCTGCCCGCCTGCCTCACCGCAGCCGCCCTTGCCCTTGCCCCGGCGTTGACCTGAGTCGCCTGGGCCACCGCGCTGGGCCACCTTGGCTGGGCCAGACTTGTCTCCGGGCTTGCCCTTGCCTTTGGCTGCGCTCTGGCGGCCACCTGCACGCTCGCCGCCCGAAACGTCGGGGTTGCCACCTGGGTGGTTCGTGGCGTGCTTGGCCTTACGTTTCCTCTTGCGCCTGCCCTTTGGCTCAAGCTGCACGTCTGGATCACCGGACGGCCGGGCAGCAGCCAAGCCCCCGCCGAGATTGAGCGACGCCAGGGCCTGCTTTATTGCCTCGTCAACTGCCTTCTGGATCTGCTCCTTGATCGACTTCATGATGCTATCGCCAAGGCTATCCCCAAGGTTGCCAAGGTCAAGGTTGAAACCAAGGCCAGGGTGAGAGGCCTCGCCCAGGCGGCATCCCCTCTTCCAGTCATGGCACACACAAAGCATCGGCTCACCTGCAGGGGCCCGGCGGCCTGTCACACAGCACCTAGGTGCACACTCAAACCCTAGGGGGCCTAGCGGCGCCGGGGCCGGCTGCTGGCGTCGCGGAGGACCTAGAACCCAAGAGGGGAAAGGGGGATGGCATCCAGCACCTCGGTTCGTAAGCTCAGCAGGGCCCGGGTGCGAAGCTTCGCCGAACCTAAACCCCAAATGCCAGTTCCAGGTAATCACTGCTGGTGGGCCTCGCGGACCCGGGTGCTTTGCCTCACCCACACGGACACCTTGCAGGAATGCAAAGCAGCGCTGGAGAGCAGGAAGCCCAAATTGCACACACACCGGGAGGCACTGAAGGGATTGCTGCACAGGCTGCACATGATCCACACTGGCACTAGGATATGCATGCGCTTGGGGCACCGTCCAGATGGGGCCGCCAAGAAAATCCGTGCCACAGCTCTGCTCGATCGCACTGCCACCTTGGGCCGTGGCGCCCAGGGGGCCCCCGAGGAAGTCCACACCTGCCGGTTCGCAAGAGGCAGGGGACTGACACTGACACAGGCCGAGAGCTGCAGCACCGGGGCCATGGCGGCAAAGAGAGCTACTCTCGGAGGGGGCCCCGAACGGGCCGGTCTTAGAAAACATGTTACCAAGGAGGCAGGGAGAGGCCGGGCTAGGTGGCTCTTTGTCCTTCCACGGATCTTCTTTGATTTTTCGCGGTTCTCGGGTCGGGGCCCTTACGCTACTACATCTGGCCGCCGGCTGCAAAGGAAGGGCAGCGTCGCCATGGTTGGTCGCCTCCACTTCGGAAGGCCCAGCCAGCTCCGCATCCTCCTCAATCTCGCCAGCAGCCGGCTGCGTCACCAGCCCAGCGTCCGCACCAGCACCAGGTCGCCCACCAGAAAGCGGCAGCCCTGCTGCCACTTGCTCCCGGCTGCCCCGCTGCTGCTGGACATTTGCATCGCGATAGGCCTCCGCCGGAGCAAGGCCAAAGTCCCCGTCAGCAAACCACAGGGTAGTGCTTGGGAAATGTCCCATCGCCTGGAGGCGCTCCACCCAAGGTGGGTCGCCATCACACCGCTTTGTCAGCTGCTCGGTCCAGAGAAGAACGAGGGCTTCACGTACACGAAAGAGCTCATCCACTAGCACAGCCGATCCCACAACTGCACTGGCATCCTCATTGAGCCTTTCCAGGAAGTCTTCGATAGAAGCATGCTCACCCTCAAGCATAGCTTTGAGAACATAGTTGCGCGGCGCAACTCCCCTGAACTTTCTGTAGCTGACAGGTAGGATCAGCTGAGTCCTCGACGTCGCGGCCTCCATGGCCGCCAAATCCATCATCCTTTTCCGCTCAGCACCCACAGCGCCTCCCGAGGAAGGAGCCATGGCACAGTCGAGACAGACTTAGCCACCGAGCCTACCTACGGTGTTGTCCAGCTTGGAACTCGCGGAGTTCCTGTCTCGGGCCCAAGCTGCGTGTTCTCACGCCTAACTGCGGTTCAGGCAAGATTCGGGCATCGCAACGAAGTCCCGATCTGCGCGTCCAGTAACGTCTTTGGTTGTCGGTTGTGAGACCGAACCTAAAAGGTCAAACATGAAGCTGACAAGCAGAGGACATGTGACAGCTGTACAATCCAAGGTGCTTGAAGCTGAGGCATGAAAGACCAAACAAACTAGAGTCGTTGAGGCCATATTAGCCGAAACATGGGAAACTAAGGCTCAGGAGAGCCGAGAAGAAAAGTGAGCCTTTGGCTCGGGTTTGCTAAAAGGAGAGGTGCAGGGCTACACAGCAAGCACAAACTGCCTAGCGAGAGCCTAAGCAGCATCGAAGTGACGTGCGGAGCAGCTGTACACCTCTACGGCTTCAGGTGGACTCGACGTAGGAACTCAGAGGGACACAGCAACGCGCCTCAGCCAGCAGCCCACGCCCCGCAGCACGCCACCGCAGCCAGCAGCCAGCGGCGGCAGCCAGAAGAAGCGGTGCAGCACGTAGTTCCCCGAGGGAGCCACCGTAGAAGCCGTCAACGATGCAAATGTTCAGTGTCGTAGCGAGTTTCACGGATCATCTTGAATGATACGAGCCGGCCGCCTCGCACGAAGGTGCTGCGCCAAGACATTGGAGGCACCAGCAGAAGCCAAGATGGCCCCCCGCTCCCAAAGCGCTGCACGATGAAGCTCTGCATGCCAGCTCACCCTGCCCGATCCACGAGCCCGGTGCTCGCGAATGCTGTTGGCAGCCGCATCGGCCCGTTCGTTGAGGTCCCTGCAGCGGTCGGCCGTTAGGCCCCAGGGAGCAGTCCAGTTGGGCCGCCGACCATGTGCAGGAGTCCACGAAAGCTTCAGGTCCAAGCCACCGGCACGCACATCACGGAGTAGCCTCGCAGCCTTGTGAGCCAGGAGAGGCATGGAGCACGCCTCAGGTTGAGCCACAGCCTGAAGAGCAGAGCTGCAATCCACCAGGATGCCAACCTGACAGCCTGGGGCCAACTGCGCACGAGAGATCGCCTCGAAGAGGGTCGTCAAAGTGAGGAGCTCACATCGGAAAGCCGACTGGTCCTCACAGGCATCACCGAAGACGAAGGTGCCATCGCCGCTTCCGAAGATCACGGCGCAGCCGCCGACATCAAACTTAGCACTGCCATCGGTCGCGATGAGCAGACGCTCGCCCACAGTAGCGAAGTTGCGAAGATGCGCCACAATGCTCTGAAGGGTGTTTTCAAAGTCCGAAGCTGCAGGAGCTGCAGGGTACTCAGGGATTTCGGCCGCAAAGAGCCGTTCACCAGCACGGGTGGAAGGAGGTGCGAGGCCTTGCCGCAATCCCGTCGTTGAGGAGCAAGATCAGGTGAGATGCGCTCGGCTGGGCTGCAAGAGGCCACAAACACACGCCGTGGTGTCGGGTGAGCTCATCTCCAGCCGTTTGCAGTGGTACCAGATGGAGCCGCCCGAGCCCAGTGCTGCAAGGCGAACTTCACGTGTAGGCTCAGCCGCAACTGCGAGTCGGTGGCCTTCGAGCGCAAACCGGGCACTGCGGAGTGGGGCCCCCAGGCTGAGACCACGGGCCAACGTTGCATCATCGCGGTGGCCACGATTGCGGATCCGCCCACACGAATGCACGCCCTGCCACTTGTAGTGGTCCACAAGCCAGCGCTTGACCACATCAAAGGATTCCCAGCCAAGGTGGCACTGACGGAGGGTACCGGAATCGTCAAGTCGCGCCAGGGTGGCGCCGTTGCCATGGACCTGCCAGCCTAACCTCTGCACAACCGCCGCCGCACCAGGGAGGAAGCGACGCCGCCAGTCACCACAAGCAACATCGAGCCCAGCCGTGTCGAGCCATGCCGGGGGCCGAGCCTTGAAACGCCAGGCAGCCCGCAGGGATGCCCAGTCCGCCGCCCATTCAGGGTCCAACATCCAGCCAAAAGAGGCACACAGCAAGACTTTAGGAGACTCGAAGGTGGCGTGCTTTTGCAGGACAGCACAAGTGGAGTGCCAGACGTCGCGCAAGCAGTCGCGGTCCGGGCAGGCGGCACCACCAGCCCAAAACATGGCCGAGTGGACCAGCTGCAGCACGATGCGACGGAGCTGGGGCACCTCCCCTCCCAGGAGCTTGAGGAAGCGAAGGCGATGCAGGAGTAGGCGCGGGCTGAACTTAAGGAGCCCCAGGGCACCCTCCTGCATGTCGAGGGTGATGCCCAGCACCTTTAAAGTAGTCACGCGTGGGTAGCTCCTGGCACTGGCCCACTGATCGAAAGTCCCGACATCGGGTGGACACACTACAGCACACTTGCTGGCACGGCACTGGAAACCGAAGGCTTGGTCGAAGGAGTCAGAAGCCCTCAATGCCACATCCATTGCCCCAAGAGGGTCCGCACACGTGCAGGAAGGCCACAGTCCCTTGGCAAAGGACTGGACCCACATGGCCCAGATATGGCCGACCGCAACCGCGGCCATTGGAGAGAGTGGGCATCCCTGCGCCAGGCCCCGCGCCGGGCTGCCCCATGCACCGCTGGACCGGCCCTCGTGCAGAAAAAGCCTCGAGGCATCCTGGTAGAAGGAGGCTAAGAGCTCAGCGAGGCCAGCAGGAGCACCAAGGTGCCGGAGCACCATACCCACCGCCTTGACATCAAGAGAGTCGAAGAACCGCGTGAGGTCCTGCTGGCAAAAGACTTTGCCGCCGCTCTGCCACGCATGAAAGAGCCGGGCATGAGCGTCGCCCGGGCCTCGACATGGTGCACCGCCCAAGGTGTGGTGGCCCAGCCATGTGTCCATCCACGGCAGCACATTGCGAGAGATGCAGTGGGCACCAGCTCGCCAGATGACAGGGCACAAGGCGATCGGTCGGTATTCATCCAGGCGCTTCGGCACCAGGGCAATCAGTGCCCGGCGCCAGAGTCGAGGGACGTACTTCGTGGAGAGCACCGCATTCCACAGAGTGGCCGCCGCTTCCCACCACTGCACTGGGAGGCGGAGCAGAAGCTCCGCTGACCATCGGTCAGGGCCCATCGCTTTCCCCCGCATTGCCTTGGTGGCCCGCATCAGAGCCTCAGCCTCGACCTGGAGCACAATGTCCGATTGCGGCCCGCCCGGAACACGGTCAAGGATGCGCTGCACGGCATCGAAGTTGACAGGGGACTCCGGCTTCCAGTGCTGCAGCCACACTTTACCATGCTCCTCGACAATAGAGGCAGGGTGAACAGAGGAAGGGACACCAGCAGGTGCCTGAAGAGATTGCTCCATGGCCAACTGATGGGCAGCTTTGCGCTTGACCCAGGCGAGGGCACGAGAGGGATCCTCCTCAACACGGCGACGCCACCTGTGCACTCTGGCCTCCGTCTCCTGCTGCTGAAGCTCGGCATGCAAATGAGAGATCACCTGGGTGGCACCTGCAAGGTTGGCAGCATGTATCACAGGGAGGTCGGGGAAAGTGGCACGCAGGAGCCCAGCCCGGCGGCCCACCGCACGCCACAGCTTCTGACAGTGGGGCTGTTGCCGCAGTTGGTGCAATTGCCCAAGCAACTTGCGAGATGAACGGAGGACTGGGACTCATGACCCTGGGGGCCGACACGATGGTGAGACTCGTGGCGGGCACAAGGGAGCCAGTGGTCGCTCCTGCGGGCACCGGAGGCATCGAAGAGCGAAGTGGCACCCAGCGTGCGCTCGGCCACGTCTGACAAGAAGGCCCAGGCTTCATCAAGAGCCTCACCTGCAATAGAACTCTCAAAGTGTGCGGCATCCCAGACCCTACCAAAGTTAGACAGGATGTCTTCAGTGGCCGTGGCAGGGAGCTCACGAAACTTAGGCATGGAGAAGCTGTCGGCACGGCTCAGGCACCGCGTTTCGTAGAAGACGCACCCGTGGTCCGAAAGGTCCGGGCGCTCGAACTGCTTGACAGCCGTCGCAATGATTGACCAATGGGCCAGGCCAAAATCAATGCGCCGGGTGCGCGTGGGATTTGTTGGGCCGGCTTGGGTCCAGTCCGCCTCATCCAGAGACCGGAGCTCGCCATCGCACAACAGCTGCACTACAGCTTGCTCAGACTGGTCAACATTGAAATCGCCGAGCAAGATGTAGGGGCCGCCGAAGGTCGCAGCTGCACGCCTAACCTCACCTAAGGCCTGGGCTGTGGCGGCTGGCTGACCAGGGAAGCCGTAGAAAGCCACCACAAGGGTGATGCACTTGCTGCCAGCAGCCTGCATCTCAAAAGCACCTGCAGCACAGCGCGCAGCCACATGCGGAGGAAGCTTAAGGTTCACACGATGCATGGGGAGGGAAGCGACCAGGGCCACCCTATGCACACCCTTGGCAGCATCAATGTCGCTGAGAACAGCCCGATAGCCATGGGCACGCCAGCGCTCACCAAAACCCTGGGCCGACAAAGGGTTGATGTCAGCCTCCTGAAGAGACAAGAGCTCAGCCCCACACGACTGGAGGAAGTCGGCACACAGGTCCACTTTGGAGATGGCCGTGCGGTTCGCATTGATGCTCAAAAGCTTGATGAACACGGCGAGGAGGGGATTCGCATGGAGATGGCAAGCTTGGCAGCCGCGGCAGCACGGAGCACCTGGGAGCAGAAGTCGGGATCACCTCCGGCACGCCGGGCCCACGCCTCGATGGCATCAAGTTTTTGGATCCGCTTCTGGGTGTTGCTCTGCGACTTGCACCGGCCCTCGCTATGCTGCTTGGCGGCAGCCAGGTCCCTGGTGCACTCACCGCACCGGAGGCACTTCCAACCATGCTCAAGGAGGACATGCTTGACCCGGGTGCTGCGTTTCTCACACCTGGCTCGAGGCCACACAAAGAGCTGCATCTGGTCCCCAAAGCGAGGGGTCCTGACTTGAGCGAACACGGCCTTGGTGAGGTTGCGCTGGCGGCACCCTTTGGCATGCACCTGGCGATCCTTGGGCCCGGTTTGCGGGAGTGCCGCAAGACGCTGCCACTCAGCCTTGGAGACCTCGGGGTGGGCCTGTGCACGATGCTGGTTGCGCAGGGCATAGTAGGAGAATCGAGAAAGGTCCTTCCGAGTCTCGTGCGTGATGCCCTTGTTGCAGAAAGGGCAACACCAGATGAACTGAGCCCTTGGGCCGCAGACCCGCGTGAGCTTGGGTCGCCCGATGTCCGGCTGCAGGCCCTGCCCCTCATGGGCACGCTGGTAGTGGTTGTGGCGGATGTGGTAGTACTGGTGGTTGCTCGTGGCCTTGCGCTTGTAAGGGCACAAGTTGCACCGAAAGGTGAGGTCAGCCGGTGCCGTGGCATGGGCCAGCCAGGGGCAGCGCTTCGGGGGCACACGAGCTCGCTCAAACTCGGATTCATCGAAGGCCTCGATAGTGCCAGTAGAGGTGCAGGTGAAGACGGACGAAGTGCACAGCTCTACCGCCTTGCGCTTGGTGCCTGAGGGCCTTGCCTGGGCCGTGGCCTGTGATGACCTCGCCTGTGGCTCGCCCCTGGGCTTGGTCTGGGGACCATGCAATGCCTTTGCCTTGCACCTGGCACTGAGTGGGCACGGCCGGGAAAGGGCCTGCACCTTTCGGCTGCCTGAAGACCTTGCCTGTGAAACCTGTGACCTGGGCCGCCTACCTTGCAAAGAGGGCTGGGCTTCGATCGAGGGCCGCCCCGCAGCACTCCCCGAGGCGCTCGCCGGCATCGAGGTGGTCCAGACGGATGCCGGGCGAGCCTGGGATTTTGCCCCTTCGCCGTCCATGACCGAGGTCCACTGAGAGGAAGGCTGGGATCGAACACAGGCAGCAGAGGAGGCAGTGAAGACCGATGGGGGCCCACGGCCACCTGCACGCAGCCCAAAGACGGGTCCAGCTGTGATCTGGGCATACTCACTTGGATACTTCTTGTGACCCTCAGGCGGGAGCATGAGATCTACGTGGTTATCCTCGTACCACAACACCAGCATCTTGGCAGCTTTGCTATGAAAAGCGTAAGGAGAAAAGTTGAGGCCCGCCGGCAGCACGACGATTTTGATGTCCAGCACACGGCCCAGGGCCCTCAGCTCGACATCCGAGCAGTACGCCCCCTCCTTCTCCATAAGAGTGAGGTAGGCCGAAAAGTCCCGGTCCTTGACCGGCTCACTGTCCGGCCCTTTGCCGTCCCATTCCTTCTCGTACTGGGTGACATGCCGGCGCATGTGTTCGACCATTTGCGCACGGAGCATGCGCGGGTGATTGGGCCGAGAGTCACCAAGCCATTGAAGGCCGAGGCTTATTGCGTGCAGCACGCAGGCTCCGTCACGAGGGCATGCCTTAAGCTGGAGGTCACCTGGCTTGGTGCGCACCTCCTGCTTGACACGTTTCTGCTGGGGCACTTCCTTGCCGTCCTCGCCCGTAGCCAGCTCCCCCGTGGGAGGTTTGACGATGGTGGCAACGACAGGCTGCTCGAGAGCAACGACCGGGACGGCCTTCGAGGCGAGAGGCTTCTGCTTCTTGGAGACGACACGGAAAGGTGCCAGCGTTGCCCACAAGGACAAGGGCTTCTCCTGATGGGGCACACCATCGATGTGCCAGATGCGCACCGTTGCTTCTCCAGCTGCCATGGCACTTCGCCACGCCAATCGCCCCCCATTGACGACCAAGCCCAGGCTGGAAGCCTGGCGCAGGGCACGTTCAAAGTAGGCGTCCACCTTCTCGCCGGGGAGCTTCTCGATCCATTGGAGCTTCGCCCGGGGCCCTGAGGTGCGAGCGGCATCCACGAAGACACCGTCCTTGCCAGAGTGGGCCAGGATGCCCTCAATATCTGCCTTCGGAATGCGAACAATGCCAAAGTACTGCTCATGAGTGTCGTTGCGCTGCTTTTCCAGGACCCAGGCAAAAGTGTCGAGCACCTTGATCCTTTGGGCCGCGACCCAGTCTACTGCGGCCTTGGAGGCGTTGCCCCCGAAAGCCTTCCAATGTCGGCTGAGGCGAACTGCTTTGGCACCTTAAAGTAGACGACTGCACTTTCAGTGGGTTTGATCTTGATGGACGTTTGGCTCAGGCCGGTGGGCTGCGGAGCATGGCCACTGGCACCTGCAGACGTGAGCTTCTGGACCTTAGCAGTCCTGAAGACCAGGCGATCCCCAATGGTGCCCGCTCCCCCGCAGAATGTTCGTAGCAAGCGTGACCTGGTCGACCGAAACAAAGACTACAAGTTCGAGGACCTTGCTGGCATCAGCCTTGTCAATGAACTCAGCTAGGGCAGCGTACTCGACGACCGGAGCGTCCCAATCAGATTTTCGAAGCTTGAAGGCGCCTTCCGGAGCCTTGCGCCGGACGATCTGCCAGCCATCACCGGCTTCCTGCCCGCCTGCCTCACCACAGCCGCCCTTGCCCTTGCCCCGGCGTTGACCTGAGTCGCCTGGGCCACCGCGCTGGGCCACCTTGGCTGGGCCAGACTTGTCTTCAGGCTTGCCCTTGCCTTTGGCTGCGCTCTGGCGGCCACCTGCACGCTCGCTGCCCGAAACGTCGGGGTTGCCACCTGGGTGGCTCGTGGCCTGCTTGGCCTTACGTTTCCTCTTGCGCCTGCCCTTTGGCTCGAGCTGCACGTCTGGATCGCCGGACGGCCGGGCAGCAGCCAAGCCCCGGCCGAGATTGAGCGACGCCAGGGCCTGCTTTACTGCCTCGTCAACTGCCTTCTGGATCTGCTCCTTGATCGACTTCATGATGCTATCGCCAAGGCTATCCCCAAGGTTGCCAAGGTCAAGGTTGAAGCCAGGCCCAGGGTGAGAGGCCTCACCCAGGCGGCATCCCCTCTTCCAGTCATGGCACACACAAAGCATCGGCTCGCCTGCAGGGGCCCGGCGGCCTGTCACGCAGCACCTAGGTGCACACTCAAACCCTAGGGGGCCTAGCGGCGCCGGGGCCGGCTGCTGGCGTCGCGGAGGACCTAGAACCCAAGAGGGGAAAGGGGGATGGCATCCAGCACCTCGGTTCGTAGGCTCAGCAGGGCCCTGGTGTGAAGCTTCGCCGAACCTAAACCCCAAATGCCAGTTCCAGGTAATCACTGCTGGTGGGCCTCGCGGACCCGGGTGCTTTGCCTCACCCACACGGACACCTTGCAGGAATGCAAAGCAGCGCTGGAGAGCAGGAAGCCCAAATTGCACACACACCGGGAGGCACGGAAGGGATTGCTGCACAGGCTGCACATGATCCACACTGGCACTAGGATATGCATGCGCTTGCGGCACCGTCCAGATGGGGCCGCCAAGAAAATCCGTGCCACAGCTCTGCTCGATCGCACTGCCACCTTGGGCCGTGGCGCCCAGGGGGCCCCCGACCTGGACATGCTTTTGACGATATTATATCGTCAGACCTGGGTTGCCTGGACTCTGACGATATTTTTCTGATCCCGACGATATTTCAAATACAAGTAACATCCCGACGATATTTTGACGTATTTATGGATCCCGACGATATTTCCGGAGTCCCGACGATATTTCCCGAGTCCCGACGATATTTCCGGAGCCCCGACGATATTTCCCGAGTCCCGACGATATTTCCGGAGTCCCGGCGATATTTGCCAGAGTCCTGACGATATTTTCTTTAAAATCAGCGATGTTTGAAAGATGCACTTACCGGCAATCGTGCACAAGGTATTCTCGCAATGAAGTACACGATATATATATTAAAAACTTCGCAATCCGATATGTTCAAATGAATCCGACTCACAATTATATGACTCAATCAAAAGAGTCGAGCTCGAGGCTCAAAGGTATCTCCCGTTCCAAATAAAAAGTTGGCAGCAGAGAAGGTCGCGCATTCTTCTTTTTCTCTTCAGCGATCAGGGGTTCGAACGAATTCAGTTTCGGAACCATGGCATCCGGGCCGCAGCCGATGCGAAGAGCACGGGCCTGAAGCCGCTCAGAGTTTGTCCCGAACACACCCCCCCCCTCGTAGATGTCTGGGCTGGGCGGGCGGGGAAAAGTTTTAAAAGCTCAGCTCGAGCAGTCACTTCGTCACAAACAAGAGTATCATCAGAGATGCCAAGGAACATGGACATGCAACAAAAATCGATGAAGCATGTCAAATGTTCTGCATGAAAAACCCACCCCAAAAAAGGGGGGAATAAATAGCATGATGTGCTGTGGCCAATTGTCAAACACGGCCTGCGGCCTGTCGCCGATTTCAAAGAAAGAAAAGTCTGCAGGCAGAAAAGTTTCTTCTTTAAAATCAGCGATGTTTGAAAGATGCACTTACCGGCAATCGTGCACAAGGTATTCTCGCAATGAAGTACACGATATATATATTAAAAACTTCGCAATCCGATATGTTCAAATGAATCCAACTCACAATTATATGACTCAATCAAAAGAGTCGAGCTCGAGGCTCAAAGGTATCTCCCGTTCCAAATAAAAAGTTGGCAGCAGAGAAGGTCGCGCATTCTTCTTTTTCTCTTCAGCGATCAGGGGTTCGAACGAATTCAGTTTCGGAACCATGGCATCCGGGCCGCAGCCGATGCGAAGAGCACGGGCCTGAAGCCGCTCAGAGTTTGTCCCGAACACACCCCCTCGGATCGACGAACTCAGAGCAGGTAAGCATCAATCAAAGATTGATCGAAGAAGTAAGGCTCCACCTTCACTGCACGAACGACCTTCTGAGCTTTCCAACCTTCGCCCCTGGAGGGCCAATCCGCGATGTTCGAAGATGATGGCACTCTCTCTATCCACGATACGCAAGGGGCGACGGCATCGACCATGGACAAAGCCATGGCCAAGCGATGCATCGCTTCGCTTCTGCTTTGACCGCGCAGCACCACAGATCTGGCGGCATCGTTGTCAATGAAGAAAATGATTCGTCTTCCTGAAAGAAAATTCTGAAGGCCGGCCCTGATCATCAGGAGAGCATAAAGCTCTACCTCGCAGATGATTTGCTCCCCGACCTCCTCACGCCAGCGAACCACGAGGCGCTCTGGAACCTGACCTTGGAAAACTCTAGATACGCCGCTGCTCGCATCAAGAATTACTGCACCGATCCCGGCGAAGGCCTTGGCAGGCTCCCAAGCTCCATCAGTCCATATCAGGATAGGAGGCTCTCCAGTCGAATCGCAGCTTATGAAGCGGGGCGGCGTGCTCAAAAGAATCTTGACCGTGTGCCTGCACATCTCGCTGACGGTCTTTGGCGAAGGCCTGTCTCCAGCCAGAAAACCAGATAGCCATTTGCAAGATTGCTTGAGGGCACGACCGGCAAAGAAACCCGATGAGAAGTTGAGCAAGCCCAGCAGAATCTGAGCCTGATGAATCGTAAGGACACCCGAAGCAGTCACGGATTCAAGCTTCTCCACGATCCTATCGATCCTGCCAGGTTTGTTCGATAGGACGATGCTTCTCTTCGACAAGTTGCTCAAGTCGACCTGCATTCCCAAAACGGAGAAAACTTCCGCAAAGGGGTGTGATTTGCTGCCTGTCTTGGCATGGCCCCAGCCCAGAATGTCCAAGAATTCGCTGATGATGCCGTCAGTGTCACTGGAAGAAAGCGATGTCGAAAACATCGGAAAGTCATCAAAGTACACTGAGCTGGGCAACTTGAAAATCTTAAGCAGCAGTTTGTGAAGGCTTCTGCTCGTGCGCACGAACCCGTAAACCGAAGCAGTGAGTCCGAAGAGCAGCGAATTTGCAATGAAGAATTGATCCTCGCCTGCAGGGCCCTTGTGGTAGATCACAGCGAGAGAGCGGTGCTCCTTCTTCATTGGCATCTGCTTGTACGCCTTCGATAAATCGAGGCACTTGCCCAGCCACGACCTTGGGGGCTCGCCTGTAGCGCGAGATCTCTCAGCCTCTTCGATGGCAATCCTTGCCGCTAGAGCCGCCACAAAGTCAGAGTTCTGGAGCTCCAATTTTATGGTGGCCGTGAAGCAATTGTTGATCAAAGCCTCATGCCCGTCATCTATGGGTCTAGGTTTGTTCTCGGCTCCTTGAAGGATCAGGAATCTTCGTATGCAGTTCCAATCGTCAGAGTGGAAGAAAGCAGACACTTGGCTCTCGGTGTATGGGCCTTCCAGGAAGCCCAGATCGACTTCGTCCAACGTAGCCTTCGACAGCAAGTCTTGTAGATCGGCTGCTTGCATGCCACTGGATCCAGTCATGACCTTCCGGCGAAACGAAGCGGTACCCTTGAGATCCTGCTCCGTCATGGTAGCCGGCACAATCTTTCTGCTGAAAGGCTGAGGGCAGGCTGACTGCCCGACAATCGGGACGCCCGACATCATGAAATCGCAAACTTGCATGTCATCGAAATTGTTCTGCTCAAGAAGGTGTTTCCACAGAAGAAGACGCTTTCCCGCCACAACTTTCTCGAACCAAGGGTCGAAAGAAGAATGCAATCGAGCCTCGTCGGCCTCAAACTTTTTGGCGAGGATCTTTATCTTCAAGAGTTGAAGCTTACGATGATCTACCACCTCCTTCTCTGTGTTTTTCATGCAGAAGCTGATGGCATCAAGCTGATCCTGATCAAGGGCTACGGCAGTGTCGACGGGATGCTTTAAGGTCAAGGCCTTTGCCACGTGATCCTGCATCGACAAGTACCACCCTACCTTAACCGAACCTTGGGGAGGGTCGGAACTATTAGGGAAACCCGAGGAGGGAACCTTGCTGGACACCTTATCTGCGACTCTGGGGAGCTTTGTAGGAGGGTTCACCTCCTTGTCGGCGTCCTCGGCTGCATTCTCTCTCCCGCTATCCTCCCCAGCAATCTGAGAGAGAAGGATGCGACAAGAGTCGTCAGGCTGGAAAGAGGGCGGCTCCCAAGTGACCTTGCGAAACTCAGGAATCAAGGGGGGAAATCGGCGGTGCTGCCGACCAAGAACAGCAACAGAGTTGGCTGCCAGGTCAGGAGAGGCCTGCAAAGACAGACCCAGGAACAAAGCCGCGCTCTCCAGACAGGAGGCCATGCGTTTGCAAAGCAGAACGGGGTATGCCGACACGCAAGAAGACGACAACTGCATAGAACGCTCATGGAACACAAGGCCCCACGGGCGATGCTCGTGATTGCCTGGACAAGTAGCTCGAAGCGAGTGGAACAAGCCTCGAGTGCACAAGAAACGAGTGGACTTCGGGCGATCGGAACCATGACAACACTGGTCGAAATCAACGTACTCCAAGGCGGCCGGAGGCCAGAGCAAGCCCTCGGCCTCGGCAAAGCACTGAAGAACCTTCCAGAAAAGCGAAGTCCGGGGATTCTCGACACTGACATTGATGCCTGAAGCAGAACAATGTAGCAAAAGCTTGTAAACGAAGCGATACAGTACATTGTCCTTGCGCACGGCAAGGCTCTGCTGAGACGCTGCATTCAGTGACGGTAGGCCTAGTGGGAAATCATCGGATCGCAAAGGTCTAGGGGCCTTAGAGGCAAGGGCGTGATTCTTTGGCAAGGGCCGCTCACGAGAGCGAGAAGCCGTGCCCGCAGGGGGCGCTGCATGCACGTGAAACGGAGGGCACTCCTTAATGAGATCCCAAAAGATCGACTGTGCCGAATCTAAGGTCAGATCAAGCCTGGCCACAGGAGAGACCGCTTTATGGCAAGAACTGTCTAGCCCTAAAACCCGAAAACCCAAATCCTTGCAAGCCTTGCTGAAGCGGGCAGTGCCAGCGAAGAGCTCGTAAACCCAGGAGTCTGATTTCACGGGTGGCTGCTCCTGGGCAGTCACAGGAATGGGGAAGGAAAGATCAGGCGGGGGCCTAAACCCTAGATCAAGCAAGGTCCTGGCTGACTCAGTTGGGATTTTCTCAAGGCTAGCGACAGTGAAGGCCACGCAAACCAATCTATCGCCAACCCAGCTTTCCGTCTCGTGAGGGTATTTGAAGGCATCAAAAGTGATCGGGGTCTCGAGGCTAAGGATTGAGCCTTTCACGATGTCACCCTTGATTGTCCGTTTGTGAGGCCCGCATCCATCGGCAATCCAGATGCCACCTCCTTGAAAAGAAGTCACGGCAATGACCCCGTTGGGGGTACGATGGTTCCTAGAATCGACATGCAAATCGGTTTTGGTGTTGTGAAACAAACTGATAGTCGTGAAGAAATGCTCTGGCAAAAAGGTGCGAACAAAAGCAGTGAGGAGCTTTATGCAGGATGGAAACAGCGCACATTCACTCCGAAGACCCTGCAATCCACCCTTTGCGTAGGCCCCACAACTGAAACTGCTCGGAGGCTGCGAGGAGGTTCCTCTAGAAGGGATCTCCTTGGGCAAAAGATCGAAAATCTGACCAACATCTTGCTTAGTAATCTCTGACCCTCTGGCCAAAATGGCCTGCGCGAGGACCTCAGCATCACTAGGGGCAGAATCCGAAGTGGCCACGAGGTCAGGCCCCTGGGGCCTCGCATGGCCCCATCACTGTACTTGATTTGTGCATTCAGTAAAGGGGTGATCCCCAAAACATCGCCAACACTGGTGAAAGCCTCGCGGGCATCTTCCTTTCGTCACCTTGAGCTTGCACGTGCCTAAATTAAACCCAAAACAATTCGGCTTGCCTTGAGGATCCTTGGCCGCACAGCCATCCGGAATGGTTACACGAGGTGCCTTGCCACCGCCTTTCTCGCCGCCCTTGGTGGATGTCTTGCCCTTTCCGTCGCCTTTGTTAGGCGTGGCAATCTCCTTGAAAGGGCGCTTCGTGGGATGTGGTGCAGGAGGAGGAGCTACCATCGGCTGGAGAAATTGATTTATCTCCTGGCTACCCGAGAGGTCACGCAAAGCTGCATCCATGGGTTTCTCCACACCTATGGGTTTCTGCAATTGTCCTTCAAGCTTGTCGGCCAACCGGACAAAAAGCTCACGATCTGCCGTAACGACTTGTCCCAAGCTGACTGCTACATATCCCTTTGGCACGGTACGCTGAACTGCCTCGAAGAGTTGGTTGATCCATGTTTCCATTGCTTCAAAACTGCACAAGTGACCTAGATCAAATGCTAACGACCGTCTCTGGAAGGCCTGCCGGAGAGGGTACATGCCAGTGGTGTCGCACGTAGGCTCCGGCTTTTTCTGGACGACCTTCAAGTTGCCCTCGTTGTCCATCTGAACGGCAGAATCCTTCTTCTGAAGAGACATTTCTTGGAAGCGGGATATCCATCTGTTAATCGGAATGTACTTGAGTGTGTTATTCTCGTACATGTCAGTAACAAGGTCGATACAGCTGTGCGCAGGAGTGGTATGCGAAGTCAGAATGAGACCCGACAGCCTACGATGCTGCGCCTCGATGCGCTCCTTTCTCTCGGCCTGGGGCAGGCGACGCACGGAACCTTCCGGCGTGCCTTCGACCCTAGATTTGAGATCCGCCACATTGAGTGATTGCGATTCAAAAAGCAACCTACGGATCACCGAAACCTGAAAGGAACCAGGAGACGGGGTGACCACAGTGGCTAGCCATGAATCGACAGCTTCGTCTGTCAAACCCTGCGGTGTGGAAGAAGCGGCGAAAGCGAGCTTTCCAAATGTGTTGTAGCCGGCTTCAATCAACTTACCGAGAAGATCGTTGCTGAGGCCTATTTTACTGCATCTCTCACGGAACGAAGCTTCACTGTCCAATATGACAGAGGACATGGCTCAGCCTGCAGGCTACTCGAACTCGGCCGTTGTCACAGTATCGAAGCAGAATGCTTCGGTCACTGTCTGAGCCAACGGGCGCGGTCCACGCTTTGACATGTCGCCAAGCTGCTGCACAGCTAACCCCAACATCGTGATTTCAGCAACGTCACTTTAAGCATGTCCGCCAAAACTTCTGGCACCACGGGCCATAGGCCGGTGCATACGGCAGGGTTGCGTTTCACAGTCCTACCTCAGATCCAGCCCGCGACATCTCCAATAAACAAGGTCTGGGTTTTCGGAATGCCACGGGCTCGGAAAGCCGGCATCCGCAGTCTGTCACCTCGGGTCAAAGACCGGTGCCATGTGTATTCTCAGGGGCCACGTTATACAGCCCCAACAGTTCACGTAAAGGTCGAATGCAACTCACTCCTCCTGGGGAAAGCAAGTCCCACGGATCCGAAGGATCGGGACGTCTATTTCTCGCAGTTGACCATACCACAAGCTCGCCACGGGCTAAAAGCCGGCGAAGCAAAAGACTCGCAATGGTACATACCACCACCGAGCTCGGCCGATTTTTCTTTCGACAGTATCTGATCAATCAGCGCTCGACATCGCCCGCCTGCACTGATGGCAGGTGTCCGGGTCATCGGCATCGTCTTCCTCGAAGTCTCTGTATCTGTCTGTCAGGGGACGCCCACAAAAGAAAGTGCCCTCGTCCCTGAGTCGATGAACGATGCCAGACAGGCTATGCACACGAAGCTCGGCCACGGTGCATTCGAAAGGCGGTCTAAGCTCCTGGCCGGAGCGCGGCATTGGCTCATACCCCACAATTGACTCGGCAGACTCAGAAGACTCCACATCGGCGGCACCCACGTGCTGATCCTCAGGGGGAGCGGGAGCCTGTGAAGCCGTCGCGTCACCTGCAAGTGCTGATGCCACTGCCGCGACCCTGTCCGTGACCTCGGCATCCGGATCGAACTGGTTCTGGCGGATGGTCCTGAACATCGCCAGGATTTTTCCCGACAAGTTGATGTAGAACTGACGACTATAAATCAGAGTCGAAGAAGGGCCGCCCTTCCTGAGGTGATGTCCCATCAACAACCTCTCCTTGGGAGTAAAAGAAATTATAGGTGACCACCCACTCCACGTGATCAAGGTGGTCTTGAAGCTGTGGGTCCCTATCGACTCATCAGGGCCAGGGGCCATGTCCAAAGAAGTTAGGACGTCGATCAAGATGTCGCTGGCCTCCTCGGATGACATTCTCTCCTGGCCCCAGCATCCCCATTTCTGCGACCACGAAGGTAAACACCCCCGGTCGAACTGGATGCCTTCTCTCTCACGTGCCTCCAACCAGAGCTGCGCCCACGGCGTGTTGCTCACCCCAGTGGAGACACATACGTACGGAAGCAGGCGCGTCTTCGCCTCTACTGTGGTAGACGTCTTCGATCCGAGAGCCTCTGCAATTAGCAATTGGCCTTCTCCATCAGAAGTGAGAGTCAAAGACTGAACGTTCTGTGAATCGCTCCACCGACAAGATGTGTGTATACAAAAGAGAAATTGCCCGACTACACATCGGGTCCAATCTGAGCATCTCTCCATCAGCAGCTCCAATGCCTCCACTCGCCGACGACTGAGGGAATCTCTCTGCCTCAGAGGAGCCTTTCTGAGCTTCAAGTCTTGTGCGACGCCACGCACTCTCGAAGACAAGATGGCCTCCAGGTCCATGTACTTGAAGCGGGCTATGGCATGGAAGAACCTCAAAGCCTCCAAGATATGAGAGGCCGTAGAAGCTTTAGCACCATGCTCCCGAAATCCAGCAAAGATAGCATAGACTTGAGCCTCGTTAAGTCGCCATGGTGAGTCCAGCGAAGCATCATAGGACCTCACCACAAAAACCTGAAGTGACAAGGATCTCTTCTGCAAAGTCAAGGATGCCTTTCCCCTGAAGGCGTCTGCCAGACTCTGCATTATGACTTCATCATCTTCCATGGCCTTACCCTGATCAACCAGGCTGCTGCCTAAGGCTGTGGCCTCAGGGTCAATCAAGATAAGCATCTTGAACCTCCTCAAAGAAGAATCTCTTATGTCTGCATCCGATTTCGGCAGCCTCGCTCTGGCCAACCTTCTGGTTACCGTCCAAGGAATGTGAGAAAAAGCATCAGGTTCGGGATCCTTGTCTCTTACCATAGACAGAGTTTCACTCACCCCGACAGACGTCGAAAACTTCAAGAAAAAATCCGAGCACTGATCAAGATGTGAAGGTTTTGACTCCCAAGGCTGACGTGGTAACTCGAACCTCCTTCTCTTGTGAACTGCTGCAGCTACCATCTGAGAAGCATCAAGCTCAGCCATCGGTCCCTCAAGCCAAGACAGCTTATTGGACTGTGATACTGGCAAAAGTAGCGGAGCAGCAGAAGAGGAGGCAGGTATCTCTTCTTCCACGCACTCAAAGCTTCCCAAGTCATTGTCCTGAACTTGAGAATACCACTCTCTCTCATCCGCAGAAAAATCCAAAATCTCGCTCTCAGCATGACTTGCTAATCCTTCAATACTCACGATGTCCAACTGCTGAACATCCTCTTGGTCATCTCGAAGTAGACCATCCAGGTGTTCGTCAAAGGGGTCCCCGGCTGCGGGAGGGCCATCCTGCATCAGCCCCCAAACATCATAAGAAGCTTCTGCCGATTCACCCCCTTCCATCCCAGGAGCTTCTGACAGCAGAAAGGCCCAGAAGTCACAAGGGCAGGTGTAACCCGGAGAGGCGGCGGCGTTGGCGCCGCACAGACTGCTGGACGAAGGCAAAAATGTGATACACAGCCCGACAGCTCAAGCACAAAGCGTCGAAACTGTCCAATCCCAGAAGCAGCAGAAAGCGAGCTCCCGGCGCAGTAGCTCCCAAGAGCTGAAGAAGTCCCACCTGTCGCGGCCTTTCAGGCCGCAAAATTTCAGACTGCCAGCCGCGGACCTGCAGATTTTCGAGCAGCCACAGGAGGACTAGGCGCCGGAGCGGAGCTGGCGCTCTAAGCAAGCGCCTGTCCATGCGAGGTCGGAAGACCTCGAAGAAGCTACAACGCCGTGATTAGCACCCGAGGCCTGGTACAATGTTTTACAAGCCTCTAGAGGGGACCACGACGAAAAGTTTTAAAAGCTCAGCTCGAGCAGTCACTTCGTCAGACACAAGAGTATCATCAGAGATGCCAAGGAACATGGACATGCAACAGAAATCGATGAAGCATGTCAAATATTCTTCATGAAAAACCCACCCCAAAAAAGGGGGGGGAATAAATAGCATGATGTGCTGTGGCCAATTGTCAAACACGGCCTGCGGCCTGTCGCCGATTTCAAAGAAAGAAAAGTCTGCAGGCAGAAAAGTTTCTTCCCGACCCCCGACGATATTTCCAGAGCCCGACGATATTTACCCGAGTCCCGCGACGATAGTTCAGGGATTAAATTTGACGACCTTAGTGGACGCGGCGTTTTGACGATGTTAGTGCTGTACTTGCATGGTTGCGTTCGCATCCACAGCAGACAAAGCAAGCGCAACCAAGCAAGCAACCAAGCCAGCAACTCATGAATCCCAATGAAGTGCGACACGATCAAGTGTTTCAAGGTACATTCAACACTTCCCTGAGCAATTGGAGCAACCTACCAACCAAACAAGCAACCAAGCAAGCAACCGATGAATCCCAGTGCGATACGCTCAAGTGTTTCAAGGCAAGAACAACAATTCCATGAGCAACTGGAGCAACCACGCAGTCGATCAATCAAGCACATCAATGCACATCAATTCCCAACTCACCGACCGACGAATCCCAAGCAAGGGCGACAACACCCTCAAGGTATACAGCAAAGCAACTGGAACAACCATGCCACCAGCATTCCAAGGCAACGTCGATGCGAATTCCAAGCATGCACAACCGACCGACTGACCGACCGACCAACTAAGCACAAGCACCAAGCATTCCAAGGCAACGTCGATGCGAATTCCAAGCATGCACAACCGACCGACTGCAGACCGACCGACCAACTAAGTCATGTTTGCCGGCATGCAGCGTGTGCCCTACGGGATGGATTCAACTGCAATTTGCTTTCGAGCTTCGGTGTCTTAGGGGAAACCTGAACGGGGTTTACGTTGGTAGCGGAGCATGGCTGGTAGTGGAGCATGGTCTTTTGTTGACGCTTGTAACTTAATCGCCATGGCGGCGGGAATATGCTGCAACCGAGATTTAGGGCTTCCAATTCATAAAGGGTTTAGAAATCATGCTGGTTTGGCAAGAATCGTCAGCACCGGGGTCGGTCTGTGACGTAGTAGCTTTGCGTTTTGGGCATTATTGTTTTGTGGTGCTCTGGTGGGTTTTAGTTGGAAGGTCGAGCAGCTGCATGCTAGACTCTTATATCACTTTTTTGGACCGTATACGTCCTGGAATCCAGGACAGTTTGTTTTTATGTCTCTCGAGTGTTGACTTTAAACCAGGGGACTGTGATCACTCGTAGCACTTTTTATCTCATCATGCGGGACCATTGAAAGCTCTTCAATGTGATGTAGCGACGAGCCCAAGATACCAGTTGCACCGCCGCATGGCATCCAGCAGCCACACTCCTTAGCTGATTGACTGAACAGCTGCATGCCCAAAAAGGGTTCGAACTACAACAAATAAGTTCAGACAGGGACAGACAAGAGTGATCAGTAAACAGCCAATTTTCTTCATATACTTCATATGGTCTTCGTCACCAAAGTTGGAACAGTGCATAAAGTTCAGCTTTGTTTGCGCGACTTCTGCGATCATGTGAGATGCATAGTGGTGCTTTGGTCTCATCTTGTAAAGTAATTGAGACAGTCCATATGCACGGGCAGCTGCGTATTGGTACAAGAGCAGGAAGGTTTCGAAAAGCCACACGGATTCTTCTGTTTCTCCATCGGTCATGTGGGGCTTGTGGGCGGTCCCAGCCACAGACAAGGCAGCATCGAGAGACCACAGCATACAGGCACGGGCCCTTCTCCAATGAGCTGTCTCGGAACTGCAATCGTCCGGGTCGAGCTGTTTCTCGAGCTCCACGGCGAAGTGGGTGACGAAGGCTAAAAGATTCCTGCATCTCGATGCTTTGATCGTGGAGCTCAATTCAGGATATTTCAGCGTCGCATTCAGCGAGTCCATTGTGATCGGATTTATTCCAAGATCCAATCGTCTTTCCTTGCACCACGCTTGAGCTCTGGATGTGAACCGGTACAGAATCTCATTCGGCTTTGGCGACTGGTCCTGCAAATCCAAAAACCTGGACATCTCACCTCACGGGCTGGCGGAGCTATATATCTCTACGGAGCTACAGCTACACAGAGTCCTGAGCGAGATAATGACACAAAAAACATCAAGCTCCTGCTCTTGTTGCCTCCCGGAGACCGTTCCGCAAAGTTTCCAACATGACAGAAGCCAGGAGGTCGCGGAGCACGCCCAGATGTACCAGATGCATGACTGCAGGGGCAGGTTGAAGTTGAAAGGCATGTTTTGTGCATAATATGATGACTTATAATGATGGAGAAACAATTATGTGCTTCGGCCCTGCCATATATCATATGCAGACAGGCCGCCGTCGTACAGCCGTCTGCGACGGGTGTAGCCCTCGACTTGCTTCCAAGGAGAAACATCGTTGGCGTGCGGAGCTGGGCGGGTGTGCTCCTCGGTTTGACGCCAGCCAGCTGTAGCACTCAAGTCGCCAGAGTTGAGGATGACGTCGCTGTTGCAAGCCAGACACCAGTCGCATATATACTTGCGAGTGTAGTTGCGACAGAGTTCATGGCTCTTCATGTGGGCTTCCTGGTCCCCTTTCCAGAATGCGAAGACGGCCTTTTCCACAAAACTCCAGAACCGGATATTGCACAATGATTCAAGGGTCAGTTTACGGGCTCGATATGCAAAATGCCCGAGAATATGATATGTATTGGAGCCAGCTATAAAAATCGCTCCCGAATATATTCTCGTGACTGCTGACGTGGCACTCTTTTGTTCCAGCACTCGAAAGGGGCTGTTCGAAAGAAAGTTCGAGCACACGACGGGTTGAGCACGACCCGAGTGGTTGCGTTTCCACGAGTGCAGATTGCGGTAGAGAGATTCCGCTGCGTGCTAAGCACCCGATTGCCCCCCTTGGTGTGGGTGGGCGGGACAAAATTTTTTTCCCAGTGGCCCGAAATGCCACTTGATCTGCAAAACCGTCGATGCATAGAAACATTCATAACTTCAACATGCATAGAGAACACTTTATGCAAGCGTTGAAGGTTGGGAAAATCATTCGTGTGATAAAAGCATGCTTTCACACAGAAATTAAAAGTTTGAAATCATGCAATCAATCGGTTCCCGGTTGTCGCCATTTTGAGGGTTAAGGATTACCCTCAAATAAAACAACCTTGTAGTTTAAGTGGAAAGAGTCATCCGCAAGCGGAAACGTGTCTTCCACAAAACTCCAGAATTTCCGGCAGTCTGGGGGCTGAGCGACTTCGAGAAGACCGCTCAGCTGCTGTCCGAGGTCCTCGCGGGTCGGGTGAAACATCCCGCAACATGCTGAGTCATCTAGGAGAGTGCGAAGCTGTGCAGCACAAGTCCCGAGCGATGATCATCAGCGACACTATTAACAAAAGACGAGGCAACATTGAGAGCCTTCGCCACACGTTGAATGGGAGGGAAGTCAGGAAGCCGCAGTCCGTCTGACATGTACCTCCTCTTGTGAAAAGCAACGAATTGGATGTATCGGATTAGCTACGCAATCACATCCGGAAACATTCCGAGCAGCAACTAACGGTTCGGAAAGAAGCTCGAAACGACATGGCCTGAGCAGCAAAGCTACGAGTCAGGCCCAAAAGCTCGGAGCAGCAGGGCTACAAATCCGAAAAGAACTCAAAACTACACGGGAGGCTCTCACGTCACTTCAGAAGGCGTCGTCGGTGGAGCTCAGAGGACCTCGCTTCCGCAGCCCACAGCAGCCGCCCTTGTAGTAGACGAAGAAGAGGAGGAAGGGTGAGCCAGCAGCCCAAACCAGCAGCAGCAGCGCCAGACCAAAGAGGCAGAGCAGTGCCGCTCGCGGTTTACGCCCAGAGCACAGCCAGTCCACACAGGAACCCCTAGGGAAGGGGACAGGGCCTAAACCCGAACAACCCGAAAGGGAACAAGGGCCGTCAAGAAAGGATGCCACGTGAAAGTCAAGAAATCGTGAGGCATCACGCGCGAAAGGTATTAAATGCGAAAACACCCGGGCCGGCACCAGCAGCCCTAGTAGAGCATAAGCATTCGGCGAGAGGCCAAAGCGCACCTCATTTGCACACAGGGCTCCTAAGGGGAGGGAAGGGCCTAAACCCGAAAAACCCAAAAGGAGAGGACCAGCCGAAAGAAACGAGCCCACACCAGCAGCAGCAGTGCTAGGCAGGAGCCAGGCAAGCAGCGCTCGGAGTGGTTCGAAGCACGCACCCGGTAGAAGCGGATGGGCCACAGCAAGGTCAGCAAAAGATTGTTACAAGAAACATCCCAGAATCAGGGACTCCCGCCGGCAGCAGCATCGCCACACAAGGAAGCATTGCCGCGCTCAGCAGAAGGGCCTGAGCTCACGCAAGATGCACAAGAGTACCCCGAGGGGAGAGGGGCCTAAACCCAAGAAACCCAAAGGGGAGGCAAGGGCATCGCGGAGCCACGGAGGCCTGGGAAAGCGAGCTCCACACAATAGCAGCAGCACCACGCAACAAGCGAGGCCGCGCTCATGCATAGAGAAGTTTACGCCAGGTGCACACCGGAGCCTCTAGGGGAGAGAAGGGGCCTAAACCCGAGCAAACCCGAAGGGGAGAGGGCAGGGAGTGAAAGTTCGTTCCGCCCGGCACATGAAAGCACAAGCTGCACACACACGAATGACATACCAAGGGCAATCAAGGAATTGAGGAGCCAAAGGTAAGTAGTCATAGAGCATTCTGGTGCGGCCAAACTAGTCAAGGCCCAGCCCCTGCGGGCTCAGCATCATCAAGGGGAACACTTTTCACATGTTTGTCCAGCTTCTCGGCAGCAGCTGCCGCAAGTCTGACGGTAGCCAGCTCCCAATCCCGAGCCTGCTCACACTGTTGATGCCATCGCTCCCGGAGAGAGCCCAAGAGCCTGTTTTGCATGCAATTGCCCGCCGCCTGATCTGCAGCATGGTTAAAGGCGCGGAGCACATCCGCATCGTGATCCGGCGAAGGCCGCCAGCGGGGGTGCTTATTGTGTGACGGCACCCAAATCAAGGAGATAGCACAGCCGCGCCTCACCAGTTCCTTCCAGAGACGGCGCGCGTCCCTCAGCAAGAGGCCCAACTTAAAGGGATCATCACCATGGCCCGAGATGGCCGTCAGGGCAGCTTTGCAGTCGGTCAAGATGAAAATGCACGTCTCGCAGCCCTCACTCCACACCCGGTGGACCGAAGCAAAGGCCGCGTGGAGGGCCAGAACTTCCTGCCGATACGGGGATTGATCCTCTGCCCCAGTGCCCATGGCATAGACACAAGACGGATCGCCGATCACCACCGCATAAGCACCGACAGATCGATGGCTGGAGCCATCAGTAGCCGCATAAATCCTGCTCCTGCCAGAGCCGAGGGCAGCACGGAAAGCAGCATCCAAGTCCGCCCGAAAAGCCCCACAGTCAGAGGCGGCAGGCGCCGGAGGTTTCAAGGGAGTCGATTTGGCAAACATGCGCTCCTCCGCCCGATTCGTCGGAGGGGGGTGATCCCGCCGGAGCGCCTCGGTGCACTCGCAAACCCAGGTCACATGCGGTCGCGACGGAGCAGTCGCTCCGCAGAGGCACTGCATGCGCCTATGCTGCTCGTTCAAACCCTGCCCGGCCGTAAAGAACCAGCACGAGCCTCCCGTGACAGCAGCAGCCCGTCTCATATAAGGAGTGGTCGCCTCATGCATGGCAACGCGGTGCCCACGAAAGCTGAAGCGCGCATCCCGCGACGGAGGTGCCAGATCCAGGCCGCGTGCAAGGCTCGGGTCCGGCCTATGAAAGCTCCGCCAGACGCGCTGGCATCTCTGCATGTAAAGGTGCCGGTAATGGTCAAACAGCCAGCCCTTAACCTCAGCAAAGCTCTCCCATCCGACCTGCACCTCACGAGAGATCCCTAAGTCATCACGGCAGGCGAAAAAGAAGCCATCAGGGCGTTCAACGACGCTCCACCCCAATTTGCGAAGGAGGCCAGGCGCAGCAGGCAACAGCTGATCCCAGCGCTGGCCCCGGGCATCACGCGGCTGCTCCAGAGCAAAGGCCGGAGGCTTGCAGAGGAGGCGCCAGGCCTCGCGGAGCACAGCAGAGTCAGCAGCGCACTGTGGCTCCAGCATCCACCCCACATGTTCGAAGATCAGGACACGCGGGGCTTCAAAGGAAAATTGACAGTCAAAAACACGAATCGCAGCATCTCTAACTTGCTTCATCTCGCCTGCCAGTGGCGTGGCATAGGCAGCGGCCCACACCAAGCACGGGTAAACAAGTGATTTCAGCATGAGGGCCCGCAGTCGACTGCAAGCGGTCACCCAGCGCAAAAGGTCCATGCGCAGCAAAGCTTTTCTCAAGGAAAATTTCAGCAAGCCCCATTCATCATTAAAGGAAACAGTGACACCTAAGACTTCAAGGGTTTGCGAAAACTGATAGTTGAATCGGGCAGCCAGAGCAGAGGCCTCGACATGACCCTCCGGCGCCACGATCGCACACTTTGGCAGGGAAATTTCAAGACCACAAGTGGCATCGAATCGGTCGGAGCGCCGAATCGCATGCTCCAGGTCGCCAAGATCCGCAGAGAAAGTCCAGAAGGACCGGTCGTCCAGGTAGACCAGGCCTGAAACCCCTTGCCTCAACACAGCCAAGGTCCAAAGGTGGCTAAATGCGGCAGCAAGGGTGGGACTTAAGGGACAACCCTGAGCTATACCCAAGCGGGGCTTAAACCAGGCATCACTGTATGCACCATCAAGTTGGACGATGCGCGAAGCTCGCGTGTAAAAGGCCTTCAGCAGCGGCCAAAGAAAAGGCGGCGCTTTCAAATGGGAAAGGAGGACCTCTAGGGCTTCAAACTGGATGGCATCAAAGAACCCCGCAATGTCCTGTTGAACCGCAACGTTAGCGCCACCGCGCATTGCAGCATTCAGCTGAAGCAGGGCACCCGACACCGACGTGCCCGGGATGCCACCGGCATCCGACGGAGAGCTCCAAGAACCTATCCAGTCGGAGAGTTGGGCATTCAAAATCCTTGCTCCCGCACGCCAGACAGCTTGAGAGATGGTTAACGGCCTGAAGCCCCCCTTGATTTTCTTAATCATCACCACACGTGCCTGTGCCCACTGGGCGGGGACGTCACAACAAGCAAGGCACCGATTCCACAGCTGGGAGGTCCACACCCACCAAAGATCAGGCAGGGAACATAGCAGTCCAGGTTTCCACGCATCCGGCCCGGCAGCACGGTGCCTCATGGACTGCATAGAGCGTCGGAGAGCCTCTGGCGTGATGTTAGGCACGACCTCCGTGCTTGCGGGGCGCGGCAGGGGCCGCAACAGATCACGCATGGCCTGCATGTCAACCGCCCTAAAGGACGCGGGACAGAGCTTCGCCCGCAGGTCCTTTGCCACAGCTGCAACCGCGACCGCCGGATGTGCAGGGTCGCCCGGACTGGCAACATCCGGAAGCTGACGCTCCCAAGCGAGCTGCTCATCAGCGCGCCGCTTGACAAAAGACCGGGCACGAGGCAGGTCCGCACGCGTCCTGGTGCGCCACATCTGCTTTCTTGCCTCCTCCTCCTGCTGCGTGAAAGTCTCAATGAGCTGTGCAACATGTGGAAGAAGGGAGAGCTCATCGCCATCACGGGCATAAGGCAGGCTGGGCACCTTCAAGCGCGTGGACCGGAGTGAGCGCCTGATGCGCGCCACCAGCAAAGCATCGTTCGTCCGGTGGGAAAGAACCTGAAGCCTCGCACGGAGTCGCAGCAAAAGGCGCAGGCCCTCCGACTTCACAAGCTGCTTGCCAGCCCGTCCCGCCGCACTATGGGCGACAGGCTCCCAGGAAGACGCGCGAGGAACGCACTCTGCAGAGCACGGCTCACACAGCAGAAGCTCGGCGGTGTCCGACAAGAAGCGCCACGCCCCGTCCAAATCATTCTGTTCCAAGGCGCTTGCAAAGGGTCCAGCATCAATTTGAGCACATCTGGACTCCAAGTCAGAAGACTGGAGATCATCACGAGGCTTGCATCGCTTGGGCCCAACCAAGGGACAAGGAGCATCGAGGGCATACAAGTAGTGTACCCCCAAGTGGTCCGAAAAATCGCACGTAAAGTGATCTACAGAAACCGCAGGCAAGTCACGATGATTAACGGCAAAATCAATGCGACGAGTGCGCACGCCTTGGGCATTGACCGGGCCCGTGGCAGGAAGGGGCCGGCCACGCGCACATTCATCACCAGCAAGCACGGTGCCTTGCGAAATTAGCGATCCTAAGCGGCCTTGGGAAGGCTCAAGGTTGTAGTCGCCCAAAACCACAAACCTATAACCCGAGGCAACCGCACACTCCAAAACCTCATCCACTTGTGTCTGGGCAACTGGCTCGTTGCCGGCCTGGCCATAAAAGGCCACCACCAGGATGGTTTCATCAGTGGCACTCCTGGAGCTCGCAGGGAGCGAAGAATCATCCTCAGGGAGGGATCGCAAATTAAAGAGCCCCGCCACGTGCCTGGTGGAAGCAGGACCCTTACACAGCTGGACATGCCGAAAAGGAAAATCGCTGACCAAAGCAACCCGGCTGCCGAGATCCTCGGGGGCGCTCAGAGCAACATGCCGGCCGTGCGTTTTCCACTGGTTGCGAAAGCCGATGCCAGCCGTTGCAGGAACATTGACCTCGGATAAAGCCATAATCTGTGGGGGGCCTTGCCGAAGCAGAGCATCAAGCAGCCCCACCGTCGACGTGCCACGCCGGTGAACATTCAAGCACGAAATACGAATCACACCGACAACATGGGGGCTCGCAAGGCCTTTTCAGCAGCAGCAAAGGCAAGCTCGCCCTGCTCTTTGCGAACCGAGGCAGGTGCAGCATCATGAAGCTTCTTATTGGCAGCAAGGGAGCGCAACCGAATCCACGCCCTCGCCTTAGCAGTGCGAGAAGGGCACTGTCCCTTTACCGAGCGATGCTTCCTAGCGATCTCTGCAGAGGGGCACGGCGCTCGGCATTTGCGACACACCCAAGCCGGGCATATGCGCAAGGGATACTTATCAACAGTATTGGTGTCCTTCCCGGCCTGGCGCGGCCATCCGAAGGCATCAAAGTCCTGAGCCTCAAGCTCGCGCAGCACCGGCAGGAGCTTAGCCTTCTGGGCATTGTTGCGAGTGGCACTGATCTTTGAGGCCCATTTGGTGGCCGAGTGTGATTTCGCTTCCTTGTTCCACACAGCCCAAGAGACGCGCGGGTGGGCCTGTGTTTTATGCTCCCGGCGAAAGCGGCACAGAGAGTCCTTGCCAAAACGGGCCGCATCAGCAGTAGAGATGCCTGCCTGGCACCGTTTGCATCTCCAGTACGCCCCCTCGCCATCAGCGAGGTCACGAACACAGGAAGCCTTGCGGGCAGGAGCGAGCCCAAGCTTCTCCCCCGGATGCGAATCCAAGAAGTGCCGCTGATAGGCCGCATAGGCCTTCACAGGATCAGCACACTTGCGGCGAAAGGGACAAAGCCTGCATTTAGCAACTCCATCAGGGAAGGCTCGGCCGCGATTACGACGGGCCATCACAAGGGCAGACTGAGGCAGGGCCCGGCTGGCATGATGCAACCGCTCAGGTTGCGGGGCATCATCATCGTCGCACTCCGGCAAGGCAGGCATTTCAGAATGCACGGAAGCACCAGAGGAGACGGCTCGGGACCAGACCGTCGCAGCAACACCGCGAGCGCGCTTAAGAGAAGAAGCGGTCGTTCTGCTCGACGCGTTGGTGACAGTCCACACAGTGCCCGCCTTCACAGAGGATGATCGGCTGGCCTTGGATCGGTTTGATCGGGCGCAAGCAGTCCAAACAGTGCCAGAGCACTGGGAAGCATCATCCCCTCCAGCCCTCAAGTCAACGACAGCACCACTCGTAACGGAGAAAACTTCCTCTGGGTAGTCTTTAGCATCCTTAGCTGGCAAAAGAAGCTCGATGTGCCGAGGCGTGTACCATAACACCAGCCTCCTTTTGCGCTGCTGCGCATGAAACGACATCGCACTAAAATTCCCATCGCGTGGGATCACAAGGATGTGGCAATCAAATAAACGTCCGAGAGCCTTCAGCTCGATGGTAGAGGCGTATGCAGATTCCGAAGCAATTAACTTGAGGTATTCCTCAAAGGCGTCCTCCGGAGATGCGGCATTTTCGCGCAATTTTTGTAGAGCCGGCCCGTGGCCGTCCCATTCCCCTATATATTGCGAAGCATATTTTCGTAAGTGCTCTACACAGCGCGCCCTCAAGTCCCTGTGGGAGTACTCAGTCTTCTTAGGGCCCGAAAGCCAGTGGAGGCCACGCGCTATGGCGTGAAACAAACAGGCTCCGTCTTTCGGAGTCTCAATGAGATCACACCCCGAGGGGATTTGCCGATGCGAAGCCGCAACATGTTTGGCAGGGGACACCTCCTTACCTTCATCATCCAGCTCAGCAGGGACCTCAAGTTTAACAGGTTTGGGCTCCAGTGCAGGCTTCTCCTTGGCAAGGCAGGGAGTCGGCGCACATCGCAGAGGTCGCTGCTTAGCTTGCTTAGGCTTATAGGGTGCAACCGTGGCCCACAGCGTGATTTCATTGTCCTTCCCCGGCTCGCTCTCGACGATAGCACTCAAAGGGACCAGATCAAGATCGCCGTGTTTGAGCGTAGCTCTAAAGCGATACAAGTACTCGGCGCCAGTGCGCTTATGCTGAATCAAAGCCACATCCTTGAAGGACTGGTCCAACACCTGCAGCACTTCCTTCTGTCCCCAGGTAGCCGGCACATGAGGGAAATTCCAAACACGCGGGACAGCCTGTGAGGGATCTCTAGGCGATCTGGCGCCAAGGCGTCCGCCCTGGGTGGCAAGACCATAAGGAGCACTCATGCGGAGGCCGCGTTCAAGATACGCAGCCGGAGCTTCCCCCTTGGTAACAGCGAGCCACTGCACAGTGGAGACAAGCTTGCCGCGCGGCACATCAACAAAGACTCCATCCCGGCCACTGACAGCGACGAGAGAAGACAGCTCGGCATCCAGGAGGCGAGCAATGCCAAACAGCTGCAAACCTTGCTTGCCAGCCTGCTGCTCCTCGACCCAACCCCACGTGTCACTCAAAGTGATTTGGTGAGAACTGGCCCAAGAAGAAGCAGCACGACTCGGGTTGTTCTTCCAATGCTTGAATTTATCAGGCGTCATGTACATCTCGGGCACCTTAAAGTAGACGACCGAAGTGGACGCCGGAACAACTTTAATGGCCTTGGCCTTGTGTCCCGCAAAGCAAGGGACACCACCATCAGCAGGGTCGGATTTGCAATGCACAATCGAGGCTCGCCGAAAACGCAGGAGATCGCCCACACATCCCGGAACCTTGTGAGGACCACTCGCGTCCAAGGTTACAAGGGTGATTTTATGGGATTTGCTGGTGCCAGCAAGCATGGTGCGAATTCTCGGCAGCGCCGAGGGCTCGACAAGAATGACAGCTTCAAGTGTAGAACCCGGTTTAAGATCGTCCAATGCTTTGGCAATGCCATCCTGCGACAACAACTGCGCGCTCCAATCCTGCCTTCGGAGCTGGAAGGGGCCCTGCGGGGGAGCACGCTGAACCTTGGTCCAGCCCTCAGCATCGCGAGGAGGTCGATCGCCCTGCCCTTTGCCTTTAGGTCCAGACTTGGGTGGGGACGCCTCTGCACTACCTTTAGCAGCACTCTTGGCCGAGCCCTTTGCAGCAGCAGGCTGACCACCTCTGCCACCAGATGCTTTGCCCTCGCCCGGCTCACGAGAAGAAGGATGGCGGCTCGACTCATGGTTTTTTCGCTTGTTACTGGGGTTAGGGTCAGGCTTATGGCGTTTGGGCCCTCGCTCCAGGTCCGGCTCCTGCAGCACAACACGGGGAGGGGTTGCCGGGGCACCTCCCATTGCATTTGCAATGGCTTCCTGCACAGCTTTCTGAATGAGCGCAGTGATCATGGGCATAAGCTGTTCCGTGATACTGGCCATCATGCCCTCAAACGGGTTGCCGCCTCCAAACCTTAGGCCAGGGGGACCCGAGCAGCCCTCTGACAAGCAGGAGCGCAAGATAGCAGCAGAGTCCAGGTCCTGTCCCGAGATCCCTTGCACTTGCCCGTCACCACCCTGCCTCGGAAGAGGCCGCCCATGAGCAGGCCGCAGTTCACAATCGCAATTGCGCATCTCGCCAGGGCATGCCTCGCACACACAAGTTGGAAGCAGGCTGCTCGGGGCCAAATGGGATATACTCGGACCTTTCGGCCTACCTTGACCCACTGACCCCTGCAACTGCACACAGACAGGCGGGCTTCTCGGATCAAGCATGGCAGCATGGCACTCGCAACACAGGCAGCAAGACGTCAAACTACCAGGGGCCACGCGGGATATACTCGGACCTTTCGGCCTGTCTTGACCCAGTGGCCCCTGCAGTTGCACACCGTCAAGATCACTCTGAGTTTGCAGCAGTCCCGCCAGGCGCGTCGCAGGCACCTGACACATGCAAGGGGGAACTGCATCGATCTTGGCACCGTCCTGAGACTGCTCAACGGGACCACAGTCCCCTCGACCCACTGATGTATTGCACACCGACGGCGGCCTGTATTGGGAAGGCCCCCGGAGCCCTGGGTCAGCGACCCCACCTCCTCCTGGCAAAAACTCCAAACCCGGATTACACCCACCGCCTGGGCTCCGGGGGCACGCTCTATTAGGCATCACAAGATCATCCCGATCAGCTGTTGCAGCAGCCTGGACTTCAGGTACCCAAGAAACCAAAGGCCTAAACCCAAGGGGAGAAAGTGAAGCTTGGTCAGTGCAGCAATGGGGCAGCGCATCGCCCCCAACAGAAGACACGGGTACCCCTATGGGGGAGGACCTAAACCCTAGGGGGGCAGAGGAACCACGGCATGGGCAGCAGCCCCGGCAAGAAGCGTCATCGGCAACCACTCCAGTGTCCTTGCCCTGCGCGATGAAGAACTGGCCGCCACCGTCGCCAGCCGCCAGCGAGCCCAGGCCATGGCAGCAGCACTGCGAGGAGGGAGAACAGGGGGGCTCCGGGGAGCCATGTCTACCACTAGAACTAGTAGCAGGCGCCAGAGGCCCGATATCAGTCTCACTCTTTGCCCTTTCGCGGGTCTTGATAGTGCTGAGCTCCCACAGAACACTAAGAACACGGCCATAAAGGCTCTTCGTCCTACGGTCAGGCTCGCACTCACCATCACAATCGGCACTAGTTAGGCCTCTCAGGCTCTTTGCCCTTTCGCGGGTCTTGTTGATTTCTTGACACACACAATCATCACTAGCTAGGCCTCTAAGGCTCTTTGCCCTTTCACGGGTCTTGTTGATTTCTTGAAAGTCACACACAGGGCTCTCAGCAGCGCAAGACGACGTCCCACACAGCCCAGCACCAAGGTCCAGACCAGCCGCTGAGGGAAGAAGCTGCAGCTGCGGCGCGTAGTAAAGAAATTCCTCGGAGAAAGTGTCCTCAATCAAGTGAAGCCCAAATGCTGCACTTGCCTGCGGCACGTAGTAAAGAAACTCCTCAGAGAAAGTGTCCTCAATCATGTGAAGCCCAAAAGTTGCACTTGCCTGCGTGTCGGAAGCATGCGCACAAGGCTCACTCGCCAAAGGTAGCCCCTGAGCAGGGCATTCATCCCCAGCAATCCCGTGATCCATCCCCGAGGACCAAGAGGTTGCAGCAGCAAGCGGGTTGCCGCTCACACACGTGCCATCAGAGCACTCCATCTCCGAAGCCCCTAGTCGGAGCCCCCAAGGCCCAACTGCACTCCACACCATGGTTCTCGGCACACCACGTTGAGCCAAGAAATCAAAATCCTTCTGGAACAGCTGAAGCTGAAAATCACGTGCTCGAACAATGAAAGCGCTCAGCATCTGCAGGCGCTGAGCCACCCTCGGTTGCGCATCTCGGTCATTGCCAGACGCTTTGCCCCAGCTGCCGAAACAGCTCTTTTCTTTCCCAATCACTTCTTTTCCCGACAAAGAAGCACCATCACTCAAAGCACAATTCATTCGCTTCAAAGATCGCCATAGGTGTAGGTAGAACCCACAATCAAGGCCTCCAGAAGAAGGAGCCATGGCCCGAAGGCACGTGTGGGAAGTGTCAGCCCTGCACTCGGGAAAGTACAGGTTAACCAGCTCAAGGCACGCGGAGCCCCTCCCCACTTGAGCCACAAAACTCCAGAATTTCCGGTGGTCTAGGGGCTGAGCGACTTCGAGAAGACCGCTCAGCTGCTGTCCGAGGTCCTCGCGGGTCGGGTGAAACATCCCGCAACATGCTGAGTCATCTAGGAGAGTGCGAAGCTGTGCAGCACAAGTCCCGAGCGATGATCATCAGCGACACTATTAACAAAAGACGAGGCAACATTGAGAGCCTTCGCCACACGTTGAATGGGAGGGAAGTCAGGAAGCCGCAGTCCGTCTGACATGTACCTCCTCTTGTGAAAAGCATCGAAATGGATGTATCAGATTAGCTACGCAATCACATCCGGAAACATTCCGAGCAGCAACTAACGGTTCGGAAAGAAGCTCGAAACAACATGGCCTGAGCAGCAAAGCTACGGATCAGGTCAAAAGCTCGGAGCAGCAGAGCTACAAATCCGAGAAGAACTCAAAACTACACGGGAGGCTCTCACGTCACTTCAGAAGGCGTCGTCGGTGGAGCTCAGAGGACCTCGCTTCCGCAGCCCACAGCAGCCGCCCTTGTAGTAGACGACGAAGAGGAGGAAGGGTGAGCCAGCAGCCCAAACCAGCAGCAGCAGCGCCAGACCAGAGAGGCAGAGCAGTGCCGCTCTCGGTTTACGCCAAGAGCACAGCCAGTCCACACAGGAACCCCTAGGGAAGGGGACAGGGCCTAAACCCGAACAACCCAAAAGGGAACAAGGGCCGTCAAGAAAGGATGCCACGTGAAAGTCAAGAAAGCGTGAGGCATCACGCGCACGCGAAAGGTGTTGAATGCGAAAACACCCAGGCCATCATCAGCAGCCCAAGTAGAGCATAAACGCATTCGGCGAGAGGCCAAAGCGCACCTCATTGCACACAGGGCTCCTAAGGGGAGGGAAGGGCCTAAACCCGAAAAACCCAAAAGGAGAGGACCAGCCTAAAGAAACGAGTCCACACCAGCAGCAGCAGTGCTAGGCAGGAGCCAGGCAAGCAGCGCTCGGAGTGGTTCGAGCACGCACCCGGTAGAAGCGGATGGGCCATAGCAAGGTCAGCAAAAGATTGTTACAAGAAACATCCCAGAATCAGGGACTCCCGCCGGCAGCAGCATCGCCACACAAGGAAGCATTGCCGCGCTCAGCAGAAGGGCCTGAGCTCACGCAAGATGCACAAGAGTACCCCGAGGGGAGAGGGGCCTAAACCCAAGAAACCCAAAGGGGAGGCAAGGGCATCGCGGAGCCACGGAGGCCTGGGAAAGCGAGCTCCACACAATAGCAGCAGCACCACGCAACAAGCAAGGCCGCGCTCATGCATAGAGGAGTTTACGCCAGGTGCACACCGGAACCTCTAGGGGAGAGAAGGGGCCTAAACCCGAGCAAACCCGAAGGGGAGAGGGCAGGGAGTGAAAGTTCGTTCTGCCCGGCACATGAAAGCACAAGCTGCACACACACGAAAGACATACCAAGGGCAATCAAGGAATTGAGGAGCCAAAGGTAAGTAGTCATAGAGCATTCTGGTGCGGCCAAACTAGTCAAGGCCCAGCCCCTGCGGGCTCAGCATCATCAAGGGGAACACTTTTCACATGTTTGTCCAGCTTCTCGGCAGCAGCTGCCGCAAGTCTGACGGTAGCCAGCTCCCAATCCCGAGCCTGCTCACACTGTTGATGCCATCGCTCCCGGAGAGAGCCCAAGAGCCTGTTTTGCATGCAATTGCCCGCCGCCTGATCTGCAGCATGGTTAAAGGCGCGGAGCACATCCGCATCGTGATCCGGCGAAGGCCGCCAGCGGGGGGGCTTATTGTGTGACGGCACCCAAATCAAGGAGATAGCACAGCCGCGCCTCACCAGTTCCTTCCAGAGACGGCGCGCGTCCCTCAGCAAGAGGCCCAACTTAAAGGGATCATCACCATGGCCCGAGATGGCCGTCAGGGCAGCTTTGCAGTCGGTCAAGATGAAAATGCACGTCTCGCAGCCCTCACTCCACACCCGGTGGACCGAAGCAAAGGCCGCGTGGAGGGCCAGAACTTCCTGCCGATACGGGGATTGATCCTCTGCCCCAGTGCCCATGGCATAGACACAAGACGGATCGCCGATCACCACCGCATAAGCACCGACAGATCGATGGCTGGAGCCATCAGTAGCCGCATAAATCCTGCTCCTGCCAGAGCCGAGGGCAGCACGGAAAGCAGCATCCAAGTCCGCCCGAAAAGCCCCACAGTCAGAGGCGGCAGGCGCCGGAGGTTTCAAGGGAGTCGACTTGGCAAACATGCGCTCCTCCGCCCGATTCGTCGGAGGGGGGTGATCCCGCCGGAGCGCCTCGGTGCACTCGCAAACCCAGGTCACATGCGGTCGCGACGGAGCAGTCGCTCCGCAGAGGCACTGCATGCGCCTATGCTGCTCGTTCAAACCCTGCCCGGCCGTAAAGAACCAGCACGAGCCTCCCGTGACAGCAGCAGCCCGTCTCATATAAGGAGTGGTCGCCTCATGCATGGCAACGCGGTGCCCACGAAAGCTGAAGCGCGCATCCCGCGACGGAGGTGCCAGATCCAGGCCGCGTGCAAGGCTCGGGTCCGGCCTATGAAAGCTCCGCCAGACGCGCTGGCATCTCTGCATGTAAAGGTGCCGGTAATGGTCAAACAGCCAGCCCTTAACCTCAGCAAAGCTCTCCCATCCGACCTGCACCTCACGAGAGATCCCTAAGTCATCACGGCAGGCGAAAAAGAAGCCATCAGGGCGTTCAACAACGCTCCACCCCAATTTGCGAAGGAGGCCAGGCGCAGCAGGCAACAGCTGATCCCAGCGCTGGCCCCGGGCATCACGCGGCTGCTCCAGAGCAAAGGCCGGAGGCTTGCAGAGGAGGCGCCAGGCCTCGCGGAGCACAGCAGAGTCAGCAGCGCACTGTGGCTCCAGCATCCACCCCACATGTTCGAAGATCAGGACACGCGGGGCTTCAAAGGAAAATTGACAGTCAAAAACACGAATCGCAGCATCTCTAACTTGCTTCATCTCGCCTGCCAGTGGCGTGGCATAGGCAGCGGCCCACACCAAGCACGGGTAAACAAGTGATTTCAGCATGAGGGCCCGCAGTCGACTGCAAGCGGTCACCCAGCGCAAAAGGTCCATGCGCAGCAAAGCTTTTCTCAAGGAAAATTTCAGCAAGCCCCATTCATCATTAAAGGAAACAGTGACACCTAAAACTTCAAGAGTTTGCGAAAACTGATAGTTTAATCGGGCAGCCAGAGCAGGAGCCTCGACATGACCCTCTGGCGCCACGATCGCACACTTTGGCAGGGATATTTCAAGACCACAAGTGGCATCGAATCGGTCGGAGCGCCGAATCGCATGCTCCAGGTCGCCAAGATCCGCAGAGAAAGTCCAGAAGGAACGGTCGTCCAAGTAGACCAGGCCTGAAACCCCTTGCCTCAACACAGCCAAGGTCCAAAGGTGGCTGAAAGCGGCAGCAAGGGTGGGACTTAAGGGACAACCCTGAGCTATACCCAAGCGGGGCTTAAACCAGGCATCACTGTATGCACCATCAAATTGGACGATGCGCGAAGCTCGCGTGTAAAAGGCCTTCAGCAGTGGCCAAAGAAAAGGCGGCGCTTTCAGATGAGAAAGGAGGACCTCAAGGGCTTCAAACTGGATGGCATCAAAGAACCCCGCAATGTCCTGTTGTACCGCAACATTAGCGCCACCGCGCATTGCAGCATTCAGCTGAAGCAGGGCACCCGACACCGACGTGCCCGGGATGCCACCGGCATCCGACGGAGAGCTCCAAGAACCTATCCAGTCGGAGAGTTGGGTATTCAAAATCCTTGCTCCCGCACGCCAGACAGCTTGAGAGATGGTTAACGGCCTGAAGCCCCCCTTGATTTTCTTAATCATCACCACACGTGCCTGTGCCCACTGGGCGGGGACGTCACAACAAGCAAGGCACCGATTCCACAGCTGGGAGGTCCACACCCACCAAAGATCAGGCATGGAACATAGCAGTCCAGGTTTCCACGCATCCGGCCCGGCAGCACGGTGCCTCATGGACTGCATGGAGCGTCGGAGAGCCTCTGGCGTGATGTTAGGCACGACCTCCGAGCTTGCGGGGCGCGGCAGGGGCCGCAACAGATCACGCATGGCCTGCATGTCAACCGCCCTAAAGGACGCGGGACAGAGCTTCGCCCGCAGGTCCTTTGCCACAGCTGCAACCGCGACCGCCGGATGTGCAGGGTCGCCCGGACTGGCAACATCCGGAAGCTGACGCTCCCAAGCAAGCTGCTCATCAGCGCGCCGCTTCACAAAAGACCGGGCACGAGGCAGGTCAGCACGCGTCCTGGTGCGCTACATCTGCTTTCTTGCCTCCTCCTCCTGCTGCATGAAAGTCTCAATGAGCTGTGCAACATGTGGGAGAAGAGAGAGCTCATCGCCATCACGGGCATAAGGCAGGCTGGGCACCTTCAAGCGCGTGGACCGGAGTGAGCGCCTGATTCGCGCCACCAGCAAAGTATCGTTCGTCCGGTGGGAAAGAACCTGAAGCCTCGCACGGAGTCGCAGCAAAAGGCGCAGGCCCTCCGACTTCACAAGCTGCTTGCCAGCCCGTCCCGCCGCACTGTGGGCGACAGGCTCCCAGGAAGACGCGCGAGGAACGCACTCTGCAGAGCACGGCTCACACAGCAGAAGCTCGGCGGTGTCCGACAAGAAGCGCCAAGCCCCGTCCAAATCATTCTGTTCCAAGGCGCTCGCAAAGGGTCCAGCATCAATTTGAGCACATCTGGACTCCAAGTCAGAAGACTGGAGATCATCACGAGGCTTACATCGCTTGGGCCCAACCAAGGGACAAGGAGCATCAAGGGCATACGAGTAGTGTACCCCCAAGTGGTCCGAAAAATCGCACGTAAAGTGATCCACAGAAACCGCAGGCAAGTCACGATGATTAACAGCAAAATCAATGCGACGAGAGCGCACTCCTTGGGCATTGACCGGGCCCGTGGCAGGAAGGGGCCGGCCACGCGCACATTCATCACCAGCAAGCACGGTGCCTTGCGAAATTAGCGATCCTAAGCGGCCTTGGGAAGGCTCAAGGTTGTAGTCGCCCAAAACCACAAACCTATAACCCGAGGCAACCGCACACTCCAAAACCTCATCCACTTGTGTCTGGGCAACTGGCTCGTTGCCGGCCTGGCCATAAAAGGCCACCACCAGGATGGTTTCATCAGTGGCACTCCGGGAGCTCGCAGGGAGCGAAGAATCATCCTCAGGGAGGGATCGCAAATTGAAGAGTCCCGCCACGTGCCTGGTGGAAGCAGGACCCTTACACAGCTGGACATGCCGAAAAGGAAAATCGCTGACCAAAGCAACCCGGCTGCCGAGATCCTCAGGAGCACTCAGAGCAACATGCCGGCCATGCGCTTTCCACTGGTTGCGATAGCCGATGCCAGCCGTTTCAGGAACATTGACCTCGGACAACGCCACAATCTGTGGGGGGCCTTGCCGAAGCAGAGCATCGAGCATCCCCACCGTCGACGTGCCACGCCGGTGAACATTCAAGCACGAAAGTCGAATCACACCGACGACATGGGGGCTCGCAAGGCCTTTTCAGCAGCAGCGAAGGCGAGCTCACCTTGCTCTTTGCGAACAGAGGCAGGAGCAGCATCATGAAGCTTCTTATTGGCAGCAAGGGAGCGCAACCGAATCCACGCCCTCGCCTTAGCAGTGCGAGAAGGGCACTGTCCCTTGACCGACCGATGTTTCCTAGCGATCTCTGCAGAGGGGCACGGCGCTCGGCATTTGCGGCACACCCAAGCCGGGCATATGCGCAAGGGATACTTATCAACAGTATTGGTGTCCTTCCCAGCCTGGCGCGGCCACCCGAAGGCATCAAAGTCCTGAGCCTCCAGCTCGCGCAGCACCGGCAGGAGCTTAGCCTTCTGGGCATTGTTGCGAGTGACACTGATCTTTGAGGCCCATTTGGTGGCCGAGTGTGATTTCGCTTCCTTGTTCCACACAGCCCAAGAGACGCGCGGGTGGGCCTGTGTTTTATGCTCCCGGCGAAAGCGGCACAGAGAGTCCTTGCCAAAACGGGCCGCATCAGCAGTAGAGATGCCTGCCTGGCACCGTTTGCATCTCCAGTACGCCCCCTCGCCATCAGCGAGGTCACGAACACAGGAAGCCTTGCGGGCAGGAGCGAGCCCAAGCTTCTCCCCCGGATGCGAATCCAAGAAGTGCCGCTGATAGGCCGCATAGGCCTTCACAGGATCAGCACACTTGCGGCGAAAGGGACAAAGCCTGCATTTAGCAACTCCATCAGGGAAGGCTCGGCCGCGATTACGACGGGCCATCACAAGGGCAGACTGAGGCAGGGCCCGGCTGGCATGATGCAACCGCTCAGGTTGCGGGGCATCATCATCGTCGCACTCCGGCAAGGCAGGCATTTCAGAATGCACGGAAGCACCAGAGGAGACGGCTCGGGACCAGACCGTCGCAGCAACACCGCGAGCGCGCTTAAGAGAAGAAGCGGTCGTTCTGCTCGACGCGTTGGTGACAGTCCACACAGTGCCCGCCTTCACAGAGGATGATCGGCTGGCCTTGGATCGGTTTGATCGGGCGCAAGCAGTCCAAACAGTACCAGAGCACTGGGAAACATCATCCCCTCCAGCCCTCAGGTCAACGACAGCACCACTCGTAACGGAGAAAACCTCCTCTGGGTAGTCTTTAGCATCCTTAGCTGGCAAAAGAAGCTCGATGTGCCGAGGCGTGTACCATAACACCAGCCTCCTTTTGCGCTGCTGCGCATGAAACGACATCGCACTAAAATTCCCATCGCGTGGG